GCAGCCTAATGGCTGTGTTCTCTACGAGCTATTAGAAACTATCATACCTAGCCTAAGTAGATCACTTACTCGTGATTTTCATCAATTATGACATTTCCTCTCTTTAGAAATGTGTGGTCTTGTCGTTCTAACGAGATCAGAGGGTTTCAAATAGCCAACAATAAAGCGAATAGAATAGATAGAAGGCTAGTTATCGTTTCAAGAAGTTAAGACTACTTCAGGGACGCTAGGGCTTTTTATAACCTACCGTTATCAGTAGATACCTATCCTCCTTTTGACTTCGCCGAGACCAGTAAAAGGGTTCCTAGAAGCTACCGATAAGACTAGACAGATCCACAAGTAATAACTACCATATATAAAACCCGAGGGTTACAGAAAATAGATACTAATGGCCGAGTCATGAATTCATAGTTATACATTATACTTTACTACCAAAGTCAAAGGCGAGATTTTAGCAATTATAGGGCGGCTTGCCTATAATAAAAACTCAGTACCATTCTATAATAGTTTAAAGCCTTCTACTATCTTCAGAATATATTTAGCCCCCGCTATCATATTCAGCTTTCAGTCATCAAATTCCAATAGCCTCGGCTCAGGTGGGGAGGCAGAATCCACCTATAAGATCAACTTCACCAATTCTGCTAAACTACCCTTTTCTAACACAATCAACCCGCTATCTAACAGGAAAAACTTCATCTACCAAATACCCGGCTCGATATAGCAGAAATCCTTTAAATAGCCTCCATACTTTACTTCCGCGCTAAGAGAGATTAAGGACTTTCGGTCAAATGCGCTAGCAAGTCGAATCAATTTGCCTTCATCCAAGTTATATACACCAGGGGAACGCAATCTCGTTTATATAGCGCCTAGAAGGAACTGAAGCTCTCTATCAAAGTCACCTTTCTCGCTTACCCCCTTCATAATCACGAGAAAAACCTACTAGGGTATAAACTCAGGGCGTGAAGATTTAAAGGTATCTTAGCATTAAAGAAAGATGTTGCCCTCCAGGTACACTAGGTATCCTTTCTCATGTTTCACCACGCTTAAAACGCTAACTTTACTTTGATCAGTAAATTTAAACTCTATTTCGAGGGGATAGAGAGGGGAAATAGAAACCTTAAAAAGCCTCCCGGGATAGCCAGTATTTCAGCTTAGTCATATTTTATGGCAGTTAAGGATAAGTTAGGCGATACTATGGTGAGAGGATAGTGTAGCCTTAAGTATTTTCATAATATACTATATATAGCCTCATGAAAAATACATTAATTTCTATCAACATAATAGTATAGACAGCATTATCAGAGGTTGCTATACGAACAAGATTTGGTAAGGAACATAGTGAACATCATCTATTACGTTGTTCAAGAAATAGCGAAAGACCTATATTCAATATCGCCTTTCGAGATTCATACGACGACTAAGCTTCATGATCTTGTCCCTTTTAATGCCGTATTTCTATTTCAGACGCATCCACTCTTTATTCCTTAGGAGAGCCTTCGCTGCCCATATCTTGCCCTAGAGCTTTAGTAGCTAATCCTCACCCGACGTTCTTCTAGTAATAGATTAACCGCCAAGGACATAGCCTTCCGATTTATCCTCGTATTTAACGAAGAAACAGATGTGGACGTATTATATACCACAAATGGTACCCTCGTATTTTTCGAACCTTTCGATTGTGCTGATAACTTCTAGGTTCAATATCTTTGCTCTCTGGAGCCGGGTTATCGTTTTGAAAAGTCAGCATTCACATAGCTTTCAGGATTTTAATCAATCTTACAAATGTTAGCTTCAAGCAATATCGTGTGGCTCAACAGCTTATGGCGAGCGTCTAGTCTAGCTTCCTCTCGAAGGTAGACTAGAGATGGAGATTTTGTCTTGTTTATGTACTTGATCTGGAAGTATTTTAAAACTCACGGCCCAAAGATAAGTGATATCTCGGCTCAAGTGCAAATTGCCTTTCGAACCTGGCTGAAAGAAATGACTATCAATCGATATCTGTCAGCTCAAAGGGTTTTCCACTAATATTGGATCATTCTCTCTGAGATAGTGAGTTGCAAATCCTTGTTAGCTGTCACAGTCTACGATCTTAACCCGTTCTGTCGAATCTTGTCCGCGCGGACAAGATTCGACAGAACGGGTAACGGTCGCACGCTTTGACCACTTACGGTCCAAGCGCGTGACGGGCGGAGCTTGCCTGCATATATTGATGCAAAGTGAGGGACATGATAAGTTCTATTCGAAACTGTTGCAAGAGTTCCTTGCGTCAGGCCCACGATATTATGTGCGGGATATCACACACAAATATCACTTGGACACCCTTTCCCTCGTAGACAACATCGCCATTTCGAGGGAGAGCCGGGCTCTCGCCGCAAGGGTTTCTTCCTGTTGTGGTTCAAAGGAAGATTGATTGTCGTTATTGTGAGGGAGACTTGGAATATTTATACAACGAGAAGAACAAGTTGATTGGAAATTAACTTGGCTATTCGTATACATACTTTTGAATTTATTCCGATAATTAGACTTGGTTCCTGATCTACACCAGCCTCATATCACAACACTTCCCGCCCGCCGCGGACCCCTCCCTTTATGTACTAGCTATCCTCCGGTATCGCTATATTTTCTCCTAAAATACACGGAGTGCCACGAGCCCACATGCAGCCCTCACGACGCTGTAACCCTCCATCAATGAGGTCTTCATTGCCAGTGTTCAGACCGCAGGTGCCCCGGGTAGGCCAAAAGATTCTCATTCGTCTCAATTTGTACTTTTCTTGATACATACAGTACATCTCGCGGTTTATAGTTGGCTATGTCATTGATTTCATCCACATTATCGCCGAATACGGCAATGAACAAATAATCGATGGAGAATTCCCGGATATCACAATTGCCGGCTGCATCTATCCTTGAACCATCTCCCAAGACTCTCCCTAAGTCCAGCAATCGACTCTGGATCTCTGCCAGCTTCCAGATCACGAAATAGATGCTGAATAGATGGAATAGGGTGTGTGTGTGATAAGGCGGGGTTGATAAGGTGTCTACCAGCGCTCCATTGTTCGGCAAATGTTGCTCTTGTGACCTGCAAGATGCAAATCCTGACAGGGTTTCCATGTCAAATATCCGCATTTCGCCGGACGGGATCTTCCCCCCTGACCAACTAAACATCCTCGAGTTTCCGAAGAAGCCTTCAAGAACTCGGGAAATTAGAGCTGGTCAATTTTAGAGAGGACGATACCGCCGGTCCAGTAATGCTGACTTTCACATTTAACGTCGGGAAAGATCAGTCCTCTTGGCTATCATCGTTCGCGTCTTTTACCGCCTTGTATGGAATATTGAAAGAAAATATCTGGCCTCGAAAATGGTGGAGTCTCGAGAAATTCGGATTTAAGTACCAGCGTAAGGCTTAGGCAGATGTTGACTCTATCGGCCTTCGAGTTACTGACAATCTCGGAAGCAATGCGGCAGAAGCTTACGATGATATAGATTGATCGTATTCCCGTCATAGAAGCGATACAAGACAACACTCAAAGCCGTTCAAATCTCTCTATAGGATCGTCGTCGACATTATAGTAATCATGGGCTGTGGGGGAGCGAACGGCAGTCGGTAGGGCAAAAGCGGCCCGGTGCGTGACCAATAGAAAGTCTCGATCGCTGAAACAGCTGCCATCTCGCAGAACATTAGGGGGATGAACAGGTCAAGCGCAGTAGCGCACAAGACGAGTGAAGATTATGCTAGAATAATGGAATCCATGCAGGTATTCGATGCAATATTGGAAACTATGATGCCCCTTTTGCTGCATAAACTCGCAGACCAAAGTCGTCTTTCTAAACAAATAAGCGAATCTTACAGAAAGCTGATTATAGGTTAAAAAGGGATCTCAAGTCCTGGTAGCAGCATCACCAGGTCTGGAATCCCCGTTGGCGTTTCTGCTTTGGATTGGACCCACTCATCGAATCACTGAACGATTTACCATGAACTCTTCAGGTAAGGAGATTGTTTGGAAAATAGAAAAGCCCGAATTCCCAAAATAATGGGACCATGATTGAGAGGTAGCTGTAATATTTCACATTTTTACAAACGTTACAAGTTGCCAGTTTCTGGCGATGTGTGGGGCCAATGTGATGCGCATGGGGCCATGCATGTTCCATTGCATTTGCTAGGGCTACAAAGCATTGAATTCATTGGTTGATGAATGCGTGTAAAATCAGGATCGTAATTTCATTTGCCCCCTTGGACTGAGCCGCTAGCTGCATAGGGCCAGCAAAAACAGCGAAAGCAACCACTTTGGGTCGCTTGGTCTCAAGTCACGCGTCAGCTCATTGGTGACTTCTGGTGGGGTTGAGTTATATTGCATTGCAAGCGTATCCGTGCGCCAATCATGGCATAAATGGAAATGCTCTCATCGTCAAGGGGAGGGGAAATTTCTAGCCTTCGACTGTCCGGACAGGCCATGGGATGTTTTTCCTTTTATTTCTCGCTGCAAGCGCTTTACATGAACTGGACTTGGAATTCAGTTAAGTCAGACGAAGAAAGGTCGTTTCATTGGAGACAGGAAGTCCTGCAAGGATCGAACAACTTCACGGATAGGCGAAACGTCCGACCTACAAGTCCACTCGAACTAGCTAGAGGTGCCGTACCTGGGCAAATCATAGAACTTCCAGACAAAGATCTTGCCGACAAATTCTGTATTGACAATCCATCTGGTGAGAGCTCCCAACCCACAATGGTCGTTCCACTCAGCTATGGCATTGCACTTGATACCTGACAACCTTCCTCTCAGTTGGTGTTCGACCCAATTCGAATGCCTCTTTAGCAAGCGACACCACCATCATACTTCCAGCACCAATTCAACTTCCTCCGAGAGCAGTAGTCAAGCCAAAAGGCTTTGGACGCCCTTTCGGGTCTTCAGCCTGTTTGCGCGATGGAAGACATTCGTGACCCAGAATATGGCTTTTGGATGAGTAGAAGACTGCAGAATTCGTCGTCAGAAACTCATTATGCAATGCTTCAGAGCCAACTTCAGAATCAAGTTCAGGCGGAGTACAAGTGCGTACTGGCACAAAGATACGAAGAAGAGTTCCGCCAGATTTCAAACACAATTCTCGAGAAAGTCACCTACAAATGGGTAAAGGTGTTCCATCCATCGGAAAAGTTCACGAGATCACGACCTCAATGGTGGCCCGTATGGATTCAATATGAGCCCCCCCGCAAAATGCCCAAGGCTTGTACGTTTCTCTTTGAAAGTCCGAAGTCAATGGCTAATTTTTGGTAGCCAAGATCATTCTGCTTTGTCACATTGTTCGTAATCTAGTTGATGAAGAGTCGGATCTTGAAGATCTGCGCAATGCGATGAAACAAATCGGCGCTCTTGAGCCATTGGAAGGGTGTCGGGATATCTTAAATGGTTTGCTATTGATAAGGCAAGGCGAAATTTGTTTAGCACGGGGTTCAAAGAAATGGACCTTGGATTGTTGCCCTGTAGAACAGCCGCAACCATCGCGCAAGCGAAAGCGACTCGGTCGGATGTGCGCCCTGTGTCGGGTGACAGAGTCACCGGAATGGAGAAAAGGACCTGAGGGCAAGCGGAACCTCTGCAACAGGTGCGGTCTTCGGTGGAGCAAGTCATCGCGGCAAGAAGGGATCAGGGTGAATGTTATCATCGCGAATCAGGATCATCTTTCCAAAACTCACCACCCAATCCCCAATATAAGCGCATCATCTGTCTTGCCAGACGTGACGACAACACATTGTATGCAGAGAGAAAACTCTGAAAGCCGTGTCGGGGTCTGTGAACAAACGCCGAACGGGTATCCTGAATGGGAGATCAAGAACGTTGGTATCAGTGCGGTAGACTTCGCTGCATACTCGTCCACATCAGATGTCCAGGTCAGCTTGGTGAGGCAAATCATACCTCTGGGCTCCCCTTCGTCCCTGCACTGGACAGACTTTACATGTGACTTTTCAATCGACTGGCAGTTCTATTCCCAAGCGGGCGAGCCGCTGTAAGTGATGCTGCTTCAATTTGATTTTATTTGAATGTGCTAACGCAGACTCTAGCTCTCCGATCACTAACACCCTCGCAGCTCTTCGAAAGGGGCGGCTTACGTCTCGGTCTGATCCACTCCCTGCGATCCTTCTAGACCCTTCAGTTGGTCAAAACATCAAACATAATGGATGCCTAGGGTCCTTGAGACTTGTTGTCGGTCATCAGTCAGTACTCCCTTTACGTAGTCTTTTTACTGCCTGACTAAATACGACTCATTGAGCAGGTCTCCCCTTCCGACACGTCCCCTATATCTATCATACATGTGAGTGCGGCTGTCTCATTTTGAGCAATTTCTTTAGTTGACCCGTCCAAAAGAGCATTCTCCCTCAGGAACGCCATCACGCTACCTGACGGGGTGCCGAAAACTACAGCTGCGCATGGATGGCACAATATTCCTGCAAAGATTGCGGAAATTGAAGACCATATCAGGGTGATGGGGTTGTAACAAATGGGATTCTGTGCCGGCCAGCCAACCAAAATCGTCCAAGGCGCTATTTTCCTTTTTTAAAAAGATTTCATGTACTGGAAGACAAGAAAGAGGCGGTACCTGCAGGTACCGACATTTTTGGCATTGTATGGATATTGGAATAAAATGAAGGGTATCATTGTCTGCGTTGCCAGGTTTGACTAATCTTAGAGATCGAACTTCAATAAACAAGGCTCATGCCAGTCCTGGTATACTGATTTATGTTGACGTAAATTCATACTCCAAAGGTGATTCGGGCTAGTGGGTGGGGATCTTAAATTGAAGAATCTGGAGATCTTTTCGTGATGCTCTCATCTTGTTTCTACCTTTCATAGTGCAAATACAATTCTTCTTTGGACCTACGCGAGCCACCCTAATCATGATCCGCTGCTTTGTATCAACACTCCGTAAGCTCAAGAACCGACCTCAGCGGGGCCGACAGAAAGCTTCAATGAAGGTGTCAGGGTCCATATCACCGTTGACCAGCCAGCTTTCCCGTGTTACCTTGCCCCCTTTCATGATATGACTCCGAGCTGCTTGACATCGCCATTCACTACCCACGAGCCGCCGCTTACTTCAGTGCATCCAAGGCTGTCTTCCCCACGAGTGCTGTTATCCTTCACATCATTCAAGCCTTCACTATCTATAGAATATTGAATTAGAAAGTAAATGGGAAACGGTGCCAAACTGTGGAATTCCCGATGGTGGTAAAGGTACCTTGATCTTTGCGTGCTTGAGGGGTACCACTGCTGGCCGAGGGACCTAAAGGAATTTTGAATGCATGAAAGACTACAACTCAAGTCCTAAACATACCTCCAATACTCGTATCACTTTCTGCGGGGCATGTCTTGGGATCGGTGGCGCTCGAAGAGAGTACTGGGCTGGGTGGGGTACGCTTTGAGTCATTCCGTCATCAGCCCGGATACTTAAGAAGCTACATTGTCAATTATAGTCCCACCATTACATGCCCATCTGTACCAATGTGGCTAAAAGCTGGATCGGAATGGGCGTGAGGCGTGTCGACCTTTTCGCCTTGGACCGTGCCTTGCGATGTGATGTGCCGAAAGACCATCAGGAAAGAAGTTGCAGGACGACAAAGCTGTAAGTTCGGATAAATTTGGAGTCTAAATAGAGCCACTATTGGGGGTGACTATTGTTTAAGTCGAACAAAGTGAGTTGGGGGAGGGAAGAAGGAGTAAAATGGTGACTTTTGCGCAGGCTTAGGCCGCATCGCTAATCTACCAATCCGCCCAATGGGGTTTATGTCGAAAAAAGCCCCACAGTGCCTTCTCTTGGGTCTGATAAGGCCAACTCCGGTTTGAATCGCCCGGCACCAATGCTAAATTCTCCGAAGTCTACGCGTAAAATCACATTTTCCCAAGGTGGGAAAGGCCACAGGGCCGTTATTCAGCAGATGGAGGGACCGCAATCCCGGGATCAACATCTGAAGACACTGGATTGCAGAGGGTCAGTTTCCTTGACCTGTGTATCAGCAACGCAGACTCAGATTTGTTGCAAGCGACACTATCTCACAATTCCAAATGATGTAAATCGAAAGCGGCATAGGCATCAGCTTTGGCGGGCTGGATTCCTGGGTACCGACATACCTGGTCAATACGTAAGAATCTAGGGACCCACCTACGAACATAGTCTCATGCACGGCTGAAAGTGAACTTAGTACGCATTGCCTTGGCCTGAGCAGGTTCGTGCACGCGGGATATGAACCTCGGGAGGGATCCTGGGGCCATTGCTGCAGAAAAAGAAGGGGCTGTTTGTATCAGTTTTCAATAGCAGTTTTAGATAGGCAATAGATAGGCAACGGCGTGGTGATACCAGATATGATAGAGATGGTGCGTTAAAGCTCGTCAAGTATTAATTCCAACGCTCCCGGAGCCTTGCGTAGTAGCACCTTCCTTTCCTAGATTTTGAGCAGCAGGCTCTTCACAAATGTGAGCTTGAATTGATTAGTCAGTATTAAGGTCTTGCTATCATACTTCAATACGCCCTTTGGTATTTGAAATCAGCTTCATCAGCTCACAGCATAAGCGGTGGCCTGAAATATGAGAGTCGAAATATAGAAAAAGGCTTGTATGACTTGTGATTTATTTTGAGAAAGACCACAGCTAGAAGTCGAAACCATCTCAGTCAGCCGGAAGCGAGGTTGGCAAAGGCAAGGATCAGAGCGCCGGTCTAAGTGGGGACTCTCCTCCCTTTCTTTTCAACGCCGCGTACTGGACTCCTGTTCAGCGGCACTGCACTGGTTATCCTCATCTTGCTATGCCTTGTCCGTGGAGATACTAGCCAAATTGGAACATCCATTCGAACCGCCTTTGCAAACACTCGAGGTATGCCTTTTGATTAGAAAGGGCTGGCCATCACTGATAGACCTTCCAGAGCTTCACCACCCCTCCGAAATTGATCCTTCGAGTACATACAATGGACAAGACACGGGCAAAAGGAAGATCTCCTAATATTGAGGACGCTCTCCTCAGCTGGGCAAAATCTCAGCATGAGTCAAAAAGCTTTCCTAGTGACTGTGAGATCAGGAACAAGGCTTTGGTGCTATGTACTGTCCTAGGATGCTCGGAAATTTATGTCGAGAAAGTTCAAACTGCTTGCTGGATGGAGAGAATAAAGATGAAAATAGCACATCAATGAAATGATCTTCATGTCTGTCTACCGTATACCTAAGGCTTTGTCTTCGATCTCAAGTTCCTCCCCACCCTAACAGGATGCCAAACACCTGGAAGGCATGGTGTAGAATTGGTTGCCCTTTCAGTGCTTGTCGTAGGGAAAGGCTTCTGGCATCAATCCACCCCATAACTCTTGATGTTCTTTGGACTTTGACGGCAGTCTCCCACACATGGCCAGGCCTAGTCACCGCATTCATATCTTGAGCTGCCTAAATAAATAAACCATTTGAATAACCTGGCATATTTTCCTGATTGAAGATGTACTCAAGTGGTTGGCAAATTCGATCCATCTCCCGGCTGTTGACCAAAGCGAATTGTTGGAAGCCATGGCACTTGAGATCGCAACACTTGTGTTGTTGCTATGTGATATGCTTTATGGATGGCTTCGCAGTCTTTGCAGGAAATAGACTCGGCAGGACCTGGGCTCTAAACGCACAGCAAAGTGGATTCCATAGCGAAGTAGTGTCTCCTTTTTCTGGCATCGAGGTTTGAAAAACACAACTCAACTCCATCACACGGCTCATGGGCGTCACCATTTTCTTGTTAGCCGGATGAGGCATGTGTGACTAGTTCCAAAATCAGAAGGTTATTCATTCCATTCTTGTTCCATTCGGGGTTGCTTTGAAAGGTCGAGAGTGGTGTTCGAGTAGGTTCGCGCAGAGGGCTTGTCTGGTTCATTGCAGGGAAAGATACTGAACTGAGATCATTGTCTTATTGTCAGCTGGATTACACATGACGATTGATGCAAAGGGGAGAATGTATACCCCCGAGAATCAGCACGATGCATGGCCGGGAGGTTGCGACTGTAAGAAAGAGGTAGATTGAAGCGTCGAAGTTGAGGCGTGACTGAAAATGAGCAGTGCGTATCTATGAACGATTAACTCTCCATTTCAGAAGATAATGAACCATGCTAGCTGGTTATCAGGACGTAGTTGATGAAAAAGCGGTGTTGGTCTCGAGGTAAGGAATGGAAAAGAAATAGCGCCTGCGAGCCCGGACACGTTCCTACCACCCATTACTTCCCTACTCCACCCCTACCATCCCAGGATCTCTTTTTCTACGCAAGCTCTGCACGAACTTATCTTCACCGGATATCCACCAATACTCTGTTGCGTCAAGGTATTGAAGCTGTTTGAATGTTTCAGCTAGACGACTGTCGATATTTTCTGTGCTTGAGATGCTGGGCTCGGTCGCCTACGACCAAGTGACTTCAGAGGTTTTCTGCATGCGTTAAACACTAGCTCTCGGGGTAGCTGTGACACCTCTCTCTCTCTACGGCTCAGAATGGTATGCCTTTGGAAATGCAAGCCTGGTCTTCGATGGATTCATGGTCAGACAGTGTCGGGCCTAGTCGATTGCCACAGCTCTGTCGGGGCGTCCCGTCTTATTTTGTTTCAGATGGTATGTACTGTATCGCATTCCACCAGAAGAAACTTTTTCTCACTCAGTCACGGGCAGCTGAATTTCTGATCTAGTGCTTCATCCACATGCTCGCACCTTTACGTTACCCTATCCAGCGTACTTGAGACGGTCGCCGAGCTCGTGCATATTTCAAAAAATTGAACACTCAACGAATACTATTGAATGACGAATTGCTATATTTTCTAGGTCAACATGACAGGTGTGTTTTCGCGGACTCTCTCTGTTCTCTTTCCAATTCGACACACTGGCAGCTGCGGCCAAGTCACTGGGCTGGTCTTCTTTACTTCACACAACAAGTGACCTCGAGCTCTGTATTCGGCCCTTCTGTCTTTTGACTGATATTCTCATGCATGACATATGCCAGTCCCTGCGGATGCATCACCGCAGTGCGTCACAAACTAGCCTCCGTTCGGCCGCCGTGTATATTGCCTCGAAGTCCTCGAACCGTATCAAAATCACAGATATGTGGTCATGACGCCACGGAGTCAGGACCTCTATATGAGGCACCTCGGAATAATATGGGAGACGTGGGATCCGATTCAGAGCATACTAGCCAGGTGAAAAAATAATAGAGCACAACAAATTTGGCGTGACCAACGAGGGTGATCGAGCCAGTCCGCTTTGGCCTTTCGGTCGAAGATCTACAAGAGACAACAAGGAAAAGGAATCAGTACTGAGTATCAGCAAACTTGATTGACGTTGCCGGCGGAGAGTTTGAAGCACGGAATCAAGGAGGCTGCAAACTCTTCGATAAGTAAATCCAAACATATTTCTCTACATTTCTAATGTCCTTCAAGTTCTTCACAACAGTCCCAACGGTCCTACCTCTAGCCCTACGTGAAATACCTTCCGGAATCGTCGAAGTCATTCCAAGCCTAAGTGTCTTCAGCAATTGTCGACGGCCATTGAAGCAACAAACCGCGCGATGAAAACCGGCCATAAGGTGGAGGAAATTCCTGCGTATTTCTGAATAAGAGCAGAGAGATTCCCCAGGCTACTCCACGCGAGAAGCACGGGTCAGCGTATATCGGGCGGTAGGAGATGGTCATATCAGGTAGAGCTACCACTAAGCCCCGGGGATCAAAAGAGAAATGACAATTCGAAGAATCGATTTGTTCTCTTCCCTGGGTCAGTAACAGACTGCCTTGAGAAATACTGTCATTTTGATGCCAGAGGCTGTGCTCCTGCTGCCAAAGACCGCATCCATCCTGCGAAAGACTCCCCTGTTGCCGCCGAGCCATGACAGAGACTAAGAGACTGTCTATACCCTTGCGCGCGGTATTTGCATGAATCCCTATAAGAGTTCCAGTTCCATAAATCTCCAGGCTCTTCAGAGCCGACACCGGAATATAGATCAATAAATCGTTGACTTTTTGAATAATGCTTGCGCGCCCCGTGGCGAGTTCAATCCACCGTCAGCCAGACATGCACTCTCGACCACTTTCACTCTGCTGTCCATGTCTGTACTTGAGACCTAGCCTGTCTGTTCAATATACTATTTCTGGCACATACTATTATATTGAAACATAGGATTTCGTATTGGAATGGTATTCAGTGGATGATTTACAATCAATCTTCCTAGCGGAGAGACCTTGAGATCTTTCTCTGTGAAAGCGTCACACATTTGAGTGGGCATGCATTTCTTCGGTTTGTGACGAGTTCAGAAATGTGTGGAGTGGGTGTGCAAATCATTTACGTGCACTCAATAGCTTCTGGAATATACGCTGGCTCAGTGGGCCAAAGCGACTTGCCCCTACCTGCTGGAGAGTCCCAGGAGCTTTGTGCATATAACGTCTTTAATGCCAGGAGCTTACATACAATGGGGAATTGCACTGCGTTGTAGTGCATGAGCTGGTTGCCAGGCTGGCCCAGTAGGCTTCTAGTTTCAAGCATATGTTGAGTGTGTTTCTTATTCCGGACCCTCTTTCGTTCATGCCATGCCTGTCATGAAGTCTTTCACTATCCTGTACACCGCGTTCACTACGTCCCTTTCGGCTGTGGAGGGCATACAGTTTACATTATCTCATGGAAATCTTCCAGAGAGCTCGCTGCTCCAGATCAAATTGGTAGTATTCGGTCAGTCGTGCGCACCAGACACCGAAAGGCAAGACTGACCTGCAAAAGCCTCTACAGATCGGCTCTGCAATTGAGTCGGCAGACTCTCGATCTCAGCACTTCACTTATGGAGAAGTGAATCTTTCCCCATCATCTTGGCCACAATCTCGGCAGGGCGAGCAGCTTGAACGTGGCGGCGTCCATTTCCACAAGGCTTTGTCAGCTTGGATCGCCCTGGATCATCGACGACACCATATACTGGCCGAACGATTGTTCCGATTGCACTCTCCGTGATGAGGCATCTGGATGCAGGGTCTGGCTCACGGAGAGTGCCACCTGTTCGGTCTAGCATAGTTCGCCTGATGATACTCCAGAAGAGAGCAGGAGGTCTGGATGCGATACTAGACCCATCGTGTCGCGCAGGGCGGCTTCAAAAGAGGATTGCTTCAGGCAGTGGATGTGAACAGCTCTGCCTTGTTGTTTCGTTGACAGGCAAGAGAAACCCATTGGCTTTTAGAATATTTCGATCATCGCCGCTAGATATGTCATGAGTCTTCACCGTCGTTTCGAATTGTCAAACCTGGACTTTTGGTCGTTATCCCAGTCGCTCTTCAGGCCACGAACAATCGACTTTATCTAGTTGAGGCACTTACATTGCCAGTACAGATGAGAAGAATGCATGCCAGTATATGGGGGTCTCTTTCAACACCATCAAATTTGGTGCCCACAGACATGACAACGCCGACCGTTGTATCATTTTGCTCTCCAGCGGCTCTTTGCTGGTCTCCAGCACTGGGAGATTGAAAACGCAAATATTTAGTATGTGCAGGTCAGGGCTCGTAGTTGGATTCTAGGCTTAGCTGGGCGGGTTGGCAAGCGTCTCCTCTCGTCGGCTGAGAAGCATTGACAAGGTCTCATCTTCTCGTGTTGTTCGAGCTTGGATCTAATATTGGCAGCTATTTTTTGCATTTTTTGTCTGTTCACCCAGACTTATCCTGCACAAATTGCCCGCCGAGTGCTTTGCTATCGCATCAAAATTCAAGCGCCAATGGCAGAGAATTCTGCCTCCTATCGGTGGATATCACGCCAGGTGGCTTGACTTCGATTGGAGCTTCCATGAAATCTTGGAAGGGCAACGAGCGCGTACATGTCGGGTCACTCACCTCGCGCGGGGCATGACACATGTCGACAGCGTCCGCGAAGCAGGGCGCATCGACGACAACTTTACACCGAAAGCGCTGCAGGACGATTGGATTAGATCACGACTCGTACGTGCAAGGCACTTGGCTGGAAAGCAGGACTGTCCTCGCAAGAATGACGAGATCAGAAGCGGGGCGGTACTTTGCGGCGACGAGAGGTTGCTGCTCGCGGTTAGCCCCGTTCCAAAGCCTTGTCAGGCTTGTGTACCTCCTTCAGGGAATCGATTGACACTGTCGTCGCGGTGGCAGACAAGAACTCCACTGCATCTGAATCGACCGGCCAGCGATAGAGGTCGTCGACCCCGGCAACCCCTTCCTCCTTGTCGTATTTCTGCATGAGCCGCATGGTGATTGACGGCAGGGCGGCGAGATATGCGGCTTCTGCCTGACTTGGTGTGCAGTCCACGCAGTAGTCCCAGCATGCTGTCCGATGTCAGCTTCCTGGTCAGTGCCTGATGCGTGACTGACCAATCTTGACAATCCCATCTAGCCCGAGTAGTATCTTGCAACACGAAAAAGACTGGTGGGTGAGGCCAGACGCCGCCAGATACCAGGCGCCGTCTAGAGTCTGTAAATCAATTATGACGTGTCGAGGAAAGAACTGGAACGGCATACCTGGGACATGATCGAACCCAGTTGTACTTCAGTAGGGTAAAGAGCCGCACAATTAACAATGTGGGCTAGTGTTATTGGTAGATCGTCCCCCAGAGCGAACATGAAATCGCCGTCAATATAGCATTCCCGAACGCAGAGAATGTTCGCATGTTCGAGTCGCCCGAATTTATCAACCAACCGCTTGGCGTCTTGTCTCCGATACTTTCGAAATGCCACTACGCGTGACGGGCGGGTGCGGCGAGCGGCAATGACCACCGGACCTGCCATGTCGTAGGTGATGGTCGGTAGATATGTATCCCATGGGGACTCCTGTCTTACAATCAGTGCGGCAGAAATGTCGTGGAGTTCAAGTAGGTTGGGAAGGCAGAGACTTTTGGGCGACCCAGAGACAATTTTCGGCATGCGGGTTCGCGACCTCGATAGTTTCACATGATATGTGCTTTCTTTTCCCTGGAGGGTAAAATTTGGTGGAAGTTGCTGTTGAGCCTTTATGGCATCGAAATCGAATATTAGGTTGCTTTGGAACTGACTGGCTGACATGGCAATTGTCAGACACCCAGAACAGGCGCAATGGGAGTAGCAGATGGGACAGTAGACAGTATTTTATAGACGAATACCGCATTGATTGTATGCCATGGCCCTGGGCTGTATCGCATTTGGATTAGGATATTCCAAGGTCCGATAATCTCCTTAATATGTGAATGCGTTTTAAGTGGGAATTTGAGGTTGAAAATGCTTGTTCACCTTCCTCTTCGATTTCTGCGGCCGCCTAGACATCAAGTTCGGGATGATCCACCACGCCCATTAATATTAGGTCGTTGTGTTAAGCCCACCACCGCCCAAGAATCAAAGGCATTGATGACGGAAGTTGAGGGGATGCTCGAACTACAGTAGTACGTTTGGCAGTGTACATCTTGACAAGTCTATGTTCTGCATGGTGAAGGTCCCTGGCTTGATTTGGTTCGATGAGGGTGGCAGACTTACCCGGGCGTTCAAAACAATAAATTACACATCTCCACCACATCACCACTTCACCGCTTCACCACTTTAATACACCGAAACAATGTTTATCTAGCCTTGAAAATGAAAGTAAATATGATTAAAGACGCTCATAGATTTGATTTCCTCGACGGGATCTTTGACACAACAATTGATGTGGTGAAACAACGATCCCGACTGTAAGACCTCCTTTTCCTTCTATGTACAGCCCAGGTTTGTCTATCGAATCAGGGCTTTAAATTCACTAAAGTGCAAAAGTGTTTGAGAAAACAGACTTTGCATGAAAAACTCCGTGGCACGAGCCAGGAACACTATAAAGCTAAATCTATGCATATTTGGAGGAAGGTCACTTCGAAGCAGTCTAAGTTTGCTAAGTGTGGGCGCTAGTATTGATGGTGCTATACGTTGTCAGCCTTGAAATCCGGGCTCATCACGCATATAGTGGGATTGAATATAGTCAGCTCATCCCCCAAATTGACTAAATGAGCCCGAGATACTGACTTGCAATCAGCTTTTGCGATAATGAAACAAGATGCCACATTACCCCGGGTAGGATTATGAGCAGGGCGATCAGCCCTCTCAGGACTTCTTCGACAGGTCGATGACTATTGCTGCAGCTCAGTCCCAAGCTCACGGCCGCGCACACAAACGTGGATATATATACTACCAATTGGATCCGGCGCAGCGAGCTCTCTGGAAGATTTCCATGAGACAATGCAAACTATCTGCCCTCCACAGCCGACAAGGACGTAGTGAACGCGGTGTACAGGATAGTGAAAGACTTCATGACAGGCATAGCATGAACGAAAGAGGATCCGGAATAAGAAACACACTCAACATATGCTTCAGATTAAAAGCCAACTTGGCCAGCCTGGGAACCAGCTCATGCATACGTAATTCCCCATTGTATGTAAGCTCCTGGAAAGTTGGTAAAGAGCTCCTGGGACTCTCCAGCAGGTAGGGGCAAGAAAAGCGCAAATTAAGAAGTATCATGTTTCACCTCCGCCAGAGATCTATTCAAATACCGGTTAAGCAGTCCGTTGAACCCCTCTGATGAAGCCGTTCGTTGAAGCAGCTGTCTTCCACACACCAGACTCCCAGCAATGACAACGTAAAGTGAAGCGCTGGACATCGGTCACACCGGTGACCTCAAGTAAATATAATGAATAGAATTCTAGTGGGTACCTCCGAGGGCGAGGTAAATCGATCAATCCATGCGGGTCTCGGTGGGTCACCGGTTGGACCCACAAGGCGACGAATTAAACTGTCCACCGCGTTGCTTCAACGCTGGAAGCGGCCACCGCTGTCATTTTTGAGGGCGCATTTATGGTTAGATTATCTACAATGAGATCTCCATCAAGTAACTGACATGAATTTAGAGGTACAGAACGGGAAAAGTGGTGAAGAGAGGGTGGAGAGGGTGGTGAAGAGAGGGTGGTGAAGAGAGGGTGGTGAAGAGGGTTCTTTCAACTTTCTTGAGAGCAGGCCTTTCACTCGCTGTGAGTTGACACAATCTTCAACGGTCAATGCGATGGCCGCTTCCTAGCCCAGACAAAAGGGCGGAGAACTAGTGCCCGTGAGTGAGGATCCTGTGCAACATCAAGTTCAAGTTTATGACCGACCAGTAACCTTTGCTATGAGAGGGGCATTTCTTTCAATTGTGCCACTCCCACCAATATTTCCGGTGACCAAATCAGACTTTGAAGGAGTAGAGGAGCCGCCCTATATACATGGCCTGAATATTAATGCTTCATGGATAGCAAGCGAACCAGCATGGCAGACAGCCGCCCTAATTGAACCGAGCAGAACGCGGCGTATAGTTCCCCCGTCCCCGCCGGTGACCGTTAAGTCTTCCGCTAACTCATCATCGCCTTCTTTCCTCCCATAGGCTGCTCTGGGCGGCTCGCGAGACCCCTGCTATGGACCCTTTCGAACCAGTGCTAGAGACAGAGGTTGATCTCAAGAGCCGACTAGCTTAGATAGCCATATGTAATTGCCAATATACTGCTACTGTTTCCTACTTAGAAAATACTAGCCGTATGGCCACCGCCGTTGGCAAATTTCATACTAAAGAAAAAGAAGAACCATATGATAGTAGAATTCTCCGTATCTATTAGTCGTATATTCGTAATTATTCTCTATTAGACTATGGGTGCTATAGACCCACCCTCCCCGTGCACTAGCGCCTGCGGTCTTTTCCGCGGTTAGTATCTACTTAGTCCATCAGTCTCCCGAGTGAGAGTCATTGGCTACTCGACAGTCGTAATGAACGGCGTTAAGGGCCCAATGGCTGGGATTCAGTGGAAGGACCCAAACGCCTAGCCAATCGGGCAGATCGGCGTAGACCGGGCGTGTCAGACCAGTTAGAAAGACGTAACCCTTCCGCCGCTGGCCGCGGCGTAGCTGCAGTAGTTAAAGCGCTGGTATCGTGTTCTGACGAGTTCGTCTATTCGGTATTGGCGGCGCTTAGTGAATGAGCCCCTCGTGGCTGATATTTCGCGATGAAAGCTCCGTCGTACATACTATTCTCTAGTTAGTGATGTTCGGCCTGTATCGGTTGATCGCGCTAGATGTTGCTTACCATTATGGGCATAACGTATGATATCTAGGCCGCTATGTCCCAAGCCATAGTTCCATATAGTCTAAATAAGCCATAAACCTACATCCTCCGTAATATAGAGTCACTGGCTCGTTCTTATCCTTTCTATGGTAGATATAGCATTTCTCGCGGCGTGAATTAGAGCTTTAGGGTGATCTATAGGTAAAATATTTAAGCTTTAGAGTCTACGGTCCCGCCTAATCATTCGCAATCATTAAGTTAGTAGGAGTCTCGTCTAATACCGACCAGGTCACCTAGTTCGCCCGAAGCATAGCTAGCGTGACCTGTCGGTCTCTAGATGATAGACCAAGTTACGAAGGCACCAAGATAGATAGGCTAGTAAGTTCAACGCCGTCCATTGCGCGGGATCGCGACTAACTCCGCCTTTTAGTCCGCCTTTTAGGATCGATGGCGGAGTGTCTTATTAATCTGACTAGCCTTAGAGGGCGGCGAGTTACGGGTTGAGACCGGCGCGTCTAGGGCTGATTCTAAATCGCGGCCTCGTACCATCGCTACCCGACCAGGTCGGCCTAGCGTAGCTAGTGCCATCTCGTGCAGAGGAATTCTGCTACAATATCGCGTAACTTGAGCTAGAGATTGTTAACACTAAAGGGTCTCTCAGCGAGGGTGTCTAGCTTCTAGCGACCGCTCTTAAGAACCTCTTTTCTCACCGCGTTTTTGCACTAGTCGCCTTTTTGCGTGATGCCATAGCAGGCATTCCCGTGCTTAAAGGGCCCACTACCCATCTCATAGATCAAGAGCGGGTTCCACAACCATAAAGGATAGTCCATTTTCGGGAAGGCCAAAGTGTGTTCAAACTAGATAAAAAAAGAAATACAACTATCGAACTCAATAGTGAAGAACCAGTCATCGGCCATTGCGGTGGAACAGGCATTTATAGTCCTTCTCACTAGTTACTTAAATACATCACGGGAAGATTAATTCGCGCTAGCCATATAACGGGCTAATTTTTGACCTTTCACGGAAGATAATAGCCCCTAGGCCTAAGTGACGGCCTCTAGGAACCTGTCACGACACCCTAGGAATGCTCTTACAGGACCCAGGAGCTTCATGCCCCCTAGGAACCAACCACCGTGATCCGGGAACTACACTGTTCATCCTAGGGCCCGTATTTTGCTAGAAGGTCTACTAGAATTTAGCGGAAAGGCCTTAATAGAATCATATATTCCTTTAGTAGGTATATAAATATGGTGAATCCCAGTACCCCTCTAACTCGCAAGCTTAGAGCATACGCTCCAAATCCAATATCGATATGCCTCCAAAGAGAATAAAGCGAGTGCATTTTTCGGCTATCATTCCCTCACCATACAATCGTTTAACTCCATCCATTCAAAACACCCCAAGACTTCCATAGGGTGCGATAAGCGCTTATTTCGCATAGTAGAGCGTGAAAAATACGAGAATAAGAGCGGAGATAATCATCAATAAAATCTCCACCGAATGCACAAAGCTGCTTGGCATGAACTACTAAGAGAAAGAAGAGAAGGCCGAACTTAAAGCCCATATGCAATACCTGATTTATTATCTTCAAGCAGCTGAGCAGCGAGCTTAGAGGCTTAAAGAGCGCGTTAACACCTTGGAGGTTAAAGTGGCGTCTCAAAACGTGGAAACCCCACCAACAGACCAAACAGCACCTCCGCAAGAGATATACAACCTTTCTGGGAAATATACACAGATATGAGTTTATATAGCTTTTATGAAGCGGTGGATTCAGGGGGTTCATTTCGCGTTGCATATCAGCGACGTTAGATATGTCAACGCTAGCTAGCGAATCATTGCTTCTTCTCGTGTTTGTTAGAGCAGTACAGTAGAATTCGAAAACAGATTACCCCTCGGACACACTGGCTTTCTTTCCCAGCGCCCCACTTAGATGGCGCTAAACCGGAATCCGTCACAGGCAGCCCTTCCATCTTTTCTTGATGTATTTCTGGTAGATCGCCAGAATTACCGTAATTACAGGTTCCGACATGGGCCAGACCATACTTGCCGAAATGCGCCCGTGATCATACAGTAGAATTGAGAAAGAAATTGCCCTTTAACACACTGACTGTTTTTTTCTCCGCCCGTACCCGAGACCCCGTTAAGCCGTATTGGGTTACTCCAGGTCCAACCCCTGCTTGGCCGTATTGTGTCTTATAAGGTATTACATTTCAGCGTTCAATGAGTCATTATGAAATACCAGTAGATCGCTATAGAATGTTCTAGGCAGGCTCTCCAATGTGTGGGGAGAGGTCCGGAGATCTGGCTTAGACGATCAAATCTAGTCAGATCCTGGATTCCATCAAGCCCTTCGCGCTTGTCCACAGTGTATGCACTCGCTATCTCACAAACCAATAGTTTGCTCCTACTTCACTTGAGCGATCTATATGCTCATCGCTTTGTATACACCCCAGTGCTCACAGCATGATAACCTTTCTTGCCGACCCTCACTGTCAAGTCACTCTTCCATTGCTCGCCGCGTACCAATCTCCCCACTGTCTTTTCGAATGTAAATTTTGGATTCCATCCTAGTTCCTTCACCGCCCTGCTTGAATCATACACTCGGTCGATTCTCGTAAGATGTTTCCACCCTTTCTTCTCGAAAATCGCATCAACATCAGGAAATGCCTTCCTCAGCACCTCCGCGGGGTTCCGATCCAAAGCTTCCAGAGTGTGTATGTCGTTGTTGAAAGGTGGCGGAGCGCTTATGATATAATTTCCCCATCGAACATCCTTGGCTCTTCTCATTGCGCAAATTGATGCACTAACAATATCCTCAATGTCGCATCTGCGGTAGGCCAGCTCTAAAGCCTTCAGGTTCTCATCACTCATGGCCGCGCGGCGGTCTTCATCATCGTCTTCCTCGGGGAAAAAACGGCTAGTTGTTACGCGGTGCTAACTGGTCACAGTGAGTATCGCTCGTAGTGGTCGTATACGTTCGTCGAGGCTCGTCCTCAAGTCTCAGTCGCAATCGTACCGTTGCCGTTAGGCCTTACACGGGCTCGGATCTATAGAGTAGACTCTTGTTGGGCAGTGCCAGATAGTAGCGCCTAGTCAAGCTATGCTTAGGATCTGTGTCGAGTGACAAGAGACTAAGTATACCTCTCCTAGTAGGGTGGTTGACTTAAGTACGAAACAAGTTGTGAAGCTAGAACTGTAGGTTCCAAGTAACAATGTGTAATTGAACGCGAAGTCTAAATACATGTGTGGTAATGACCGTCCTTATATACCTAGTCCGTCCCGTCCTCTGATGGGATCCCATCCCATCATAGGATGTGCTGTACCTATCCCATCGTGGGATGGGATTCATCACGTGAGTGGTTACCGTCAAGCGGTATTGCGGCGTAGTATTATTAAATAGATTACTGGGGTTTCGTGTACGAACCGAGAAAAAGAACGATCAGTGTGTTAAAGGGCAATTTCTTTCTCAATTCTACTGTATGATCACGGGCGCATTTCGGCAAGTATGGTCTGGCCCATGTCGGAACCTGTAATTACGGTAATTCTGGCGATCTACCAGAAATACATCAAGAAAAGATGGAAGGGCTGCCTGTGACGGATTCCGGTTTAGCGCCATCTAAGTGGGGCGCTGGGAAAGAAAGCCAGTGTGTCCGAGGGGTAATCTGTTTTCGAATTCTACTGTACTAGGGTTCAGCCCCTAGTGAGCTCGCACTGGGCAGCAGTCCTAGCCAGGCTGTTGGGACAATGGATTCATACCTTCTCGTGGTGTCCGGTGTTAATCCTCGTTGGGGAGACCAAATTGAATCCGCTGTGGTTGTGCGGTCCGGCCCGGTGCGGGAAGCGATCGCACAACCACAGCAAAATCAGGGGATAACGGGATATGAAAACCATCCGACTTCTTTTTACTCGACTCGCACTCGGGCCCAGCCGCTGGTCTTGCATTACCAGTGAAAGTGGTGTCGCCCTAGAAAGAAGACAGGACACCCCTGAGCTTGCATACGGTCTGGGATCGCATCGTGCGAGATGCGGCGAGGCGGTAGTGAACTGGTGACACAGGCAGTCAAGCTAATATCGGACAGACCTCGTTTAAGGCCTAGGGGGCCTCGTTAAGACTCGAACTCGTTAAGGCTTGAAGACGCCGCCTCGGAGACCTCGTTAAGGCCCAGCCACGGGCAACCTTTGATGCGGCTCCTCTTCTTGACACGGACACCACCGAGACACGGGCATCCTCCTGGGAGATACACGGGCATCTGGAAGGAATTGGTATTTGGCTGGCGGCAAACGATGGATCTCGTTAAGGCGTCGCCACGGGCACACCATCGATCCTGCTCAGACATCGGGGAACAAGCTTGGTTAGTGGAAAGTGGCCGACGTACACTGCCGGACGGAGCGTACACGAGGGCTTTCTGCAAGACACGGTCGGCCTGGCGGGGGAGACCTCCCCAGGTAACGCGAAACGAGGGTTCAAGCTCTCGCGGGGCGTGGTGTACAATGGCAGCCACTGCGACAGGGTCAGGGCCTGTCAAGAGACTGTCTGTATAGCCCGAGAGGACGGATGCGCGTGTCGGTGCACAAAGAGCCGGGAGCCAACTACCTCACTCGCACTGAGGGCCTGAAACCGATCTTGATCGGTTGAAGCGGTGTCGTCCTAGTTGAACAGCCCGTGATGTGTGCTTAAGGAGCAAACTGAGAGACACCCAGGGTGAGAGGCTTCGTCCACCTCAAGAGTCCAGAAACCTCGTTTATTGGGCGAAAAACTGGGGTAGTGGTCTATGCAAGTAGGCCTGCCGAAGCTACTTTATGTCTCTTGGCCCCCTCTGCCGGACGTGATTGAAGACGAGGGGACGAGACCACAGAGAGAGCCAGTGAGGATGCCTACGGTTGGCATGGAAGAGATCGAAAGACAGCTTTTTGCTGCAAAATCATGGAAGGCACCGGGCGAAGACGGTCTACCGGCGATAGTCTGGAAGATGACGTGGCCGACTGTCAAGCATAGGGTTCTCGACTTATTCCAGGCGTCACTGAGAGAAGGCGCGTTACCGACATAATAGAGACATGCGAAGATCATACCGCTCAAGAAGCCGAATAAAGACAATTATACTATTGCAAAGGCGTGGAGACCAATTTCACTTCTAGCAACACTAGGAAAGATACTCGAATCAGTGGTTGTAGAAAGGATCTCACACGCGGTGGAGACGCACGGGTTACTCCCGACCAGCCACTTCGGGGCTCGAAAGCAGCGATCCGTAGAGCAAGCGCTCGTGCTTCTTTAGGAGCAGATTTACGCAGTATGGCGTGGCCAACGAGTGTTGAGCTTAATCAGCTTCGATATAAAAGGTGCCTACAACGGTGTGTGTAAAGAACGACTGCTCTAGAGGATAAAAGCGCGAGGCATACCCGATGACTTGCTCTAGTGGGTCCAAGCGTTCTGCTTAGAACGAACGGCCACCATCCAAATCAACGGGCAACTTTCTGAGGCCCGAAGATTACCGCAAGCTGGCCTCCTCTAGGGCTTGCCCCTCTCACCGATACTATTCCTCTTTTTTAGCGCAGATCTTGTACAAAGACAGATCGACAGCCAGGGGGAGCAGTCGCTTTTATGGATGATTTTACCGCGTGGGTGACCAGACCAACCGCGCAGAGTAACCGGGAAAGAATTAAAGCAATTATTAATAAAGCGCTCGACTAGGAAAGGAGAAGCGGAGCGACCTTTAAAGCCGAAAAGACAGCTATTATACACTTTGCGCCCAAGACGCGTAAGTTGGATTATGAACCATTTACCATCAAGGGACAGACAGTTACACCCAAGGATCACGTCAAGATCCTAGGTCTGCTAATGGACTCGAGACTAAAATACAAGGAACATATAGCGAGAGCCACGTCCAAGGGCCTAGAGGCAGCGATAGAGCTTCGGCGACTTCGCGGCCTTTCCCCAGCAACTACGCGGTAGTTATTTACATCAACGGTGGCGCCAGTTATGGACTACGCCTCCAATGTTTAGATACACGCGTATAAGGACAAGGCCATAGGGCCAATCAATTGAGTCCAAAGAGTTGGAGCACAAGCCATTATGGGGACATTCCTCACCATCGCGACCAGCGTAGCGGAGGCGGAGGCCCATATTACCACCGCGCGGAGCCGATTCTAGAGACGGGCCGTGAAGATGTGGACAGACATACATACACTTCCTAAAATAAACCCGCTCCGCAGAGGTATAGACCGGATCAGAAAGTTCAGATAATATCATCGCTCGCCGCTATACCAAGTAACAGATGCGCTTAGGCATATCGACATAGAGGCACTAGAAACAATTAACCCGTTCACGTTGGCCCCATAGGACGAACGCTTATAGGCCAATATTAATAGACAATATAAGCCCTAGCCTAAAGCGGGCGGATTGATATAGATCGCGGTCAGCAGCTCGGCACGGAACGAGCTAGTGGGGTTTAGAGTCGCAATCGAGAAACAGCCTCCTCGAAATCGAAAATTGAAGTTTAAAACCTTATCCATTATATTGGGCGCGAGAGCAGAGCAAAACCCGTTCTCTATGGAGCTAGCAGCCATGGCACATATATTAAAAATGGTAGCGGAAATCAAAGACTACACAATTACGTTGCTCATAAGCAACAAGGCGGCGGCGCTCACGCTAAGGAACCCGCGACGACACTCTAGCCAGGAGCTGGTTTATCAGATATATAAGTTGATAAGAAGGTTGCGGAGAAATAGAAATCGGATCAGTTCCCACTAGATCCCTACTAGCGAAGACAATAAGCTATTAGGTCTAGCTAAAGAACAGGCCAGAGCTACGACACAAGAAGATTCTCTCCCACAAGAACGCGCCCCGAGGATGAAGTCGACAATATTGAATATTGCATGGTCCCAAGCAGTCCCTAGCAGTGAGCTACTAGAGAACATAGGAAGACACGCAAAACGAGTGGATGCCGCACTGCCAGGCAAACACACCCGGCAGTTATATGATTACCTAACGTGGAAAGAAGCGACTATACTAGCCCAACTCCGAACCGGCATAGCTAGACTCAATGGGTATCTCAATCAAATTAATATAGCAGAGACGGATCAATACAATTGCGGACAAGCAAGAGAGACCGTGGAGCACTTCCTCTTCCAATGTCAGAAGTGGACGGCGCACCAGACGGAAATGCTACAATGCACGCAGACTAACAGAGGAAACATATCCTTCTTCCTAGGCGGAAAACAGGCTTCTGATGATCAGAAGTGGACGCCAAACCTAGAGGCAGTACGGGCCTCCATACGTTTCGCCATTGCGACGGGCCGACTCGAGGCCACTTAAACATACCGACCAACATAGCCCCCACCCCCTTCTTCCGACCCTACTCACCCACCACCTCGTGCTACAGATAGTAGACGCGCTTCAACTGCCGAAGATAGGATGTTGAACACTTGGAGAAGCGCCTTCAAGCCAGCCTACTAACCCACTTACTAACCCACGAGAAACTCGCTGCGACACTGCTTTCTGGAAGTGTCATATTTTATAAAGTTTCATGTTTGGGCTTGCAAGAGACACAGCATATGCAGATGGAAATGTACAGTAGATTAGTGATAGTTGCCCTTTCGGCTCAGCCGCCGGGCGTTAATGATTTGTTTGTTTTTTTGTTTATACAGTAGTAGTAGTAGTAGTAGTAGTAGTAGTATTCATTTACACCGACCCCTTGCCGAAGTTAAACCCTGGATTGAGGTACAAGTGTAATTATTCATCTATATAAGGAAATCTAGCTATTTGTAGTTGCAGCAGCTCATCTCCCTGCTGCCTAGCGGAGTGTCTGCCTAGCAGGCAGCCACTCCTATAGATCTTGTTGTGATATGAGGCTGGTGCAGATCAGGAACCAAGCCGAACCATCGGAATTAATCCCGAAGTATGTATACGAAGAATCAAGTTGATTGGAAATCAACTTGATCTTCCCATTGTATATATAGCCTCATGTTTCCCTATGAATAAAAGACAATGAATCTCCCTTTGAACTACAACAGATCTATGTCGGAACAATGGATCATGTAATCAACTTTATTAGTCAGCGTACCACATGTTAAACTGCTGTGGTGGAGACTAGAGAATACCAGACAAGCACACATACGTGACCCATACCATTGGTACATGCTTTTCGACCGTAATTACGTGTTCAGAGAATCTATATATATCACGTGACCTAGGATCCAACTTCGGCGAGGGGTCGGTGTAAATGAATACTACTACTACTACTACTACTACTACTACTACTACTACTACTACTACTACTACTACTACTACTACTACTACTACTACTACTACTACTACTACTACTACTACTGTACTAGGGTTCACATCAATATATCAATGCATACTTCGAGGACGCTGCCAAATGACGAGTATGCATATGAAAAAAGGGCAATTATCGATATGCATATCATTACCATGTCGCAGAGTAACACAAAAGATGAAGATGATAAGCGTAAGGGCATGGCGTGCAGCTTTCCAAGCTTAAATAGCATCACCTCGTCTCTGCCAGACGGTCAATGACTCGGCTATTTTCCAAGACATCATTAGCCCGGACAATTCGTGAGGGCAAACAGTGAATAAATCGTGCTACCTAGGGCCTCAGGAAAAAGTGGCTAAATCTTTGTTTTCAATTTAAGGCCCTCCAATAAGCATACTAGGGCCAGATGGAATAGAGCAAGCATGCGAAAGAAGGCAGGTTGAACTACGCCCTGAAGGTGCCGATAGTTGGACACTGAGATTGCCGAGCCAACTAATTTATATACATAGTATTCAGCGCTGCAGATTTCGGGTTTAACTAATCGCTTGCCAAATCCCACAAGGTCCCAAAATATATTATGAGTGTTTCAAAATGCTCCTCAGCAGCTTCGCACTTCCTGCACTAACCGCCATTGTCTGCATATCACTTCAACGCTCTTTGGAAACAGAGTATAAGCCTTTATGGGCAGCGCTTGGGAGGCTCTAACTTCGACTGTCTATCGGCGGGCCGAAGGAATTTCCCTCTGGCCTCCAGTTCGCCCTTCTCACTCTTTAGTTGACGATTCTCACTACTTAGTCGATGATTTTGACTACTTAGTTAATGATTTCCCCTCCTCAGTTGATGACTCTCATTCCTCAGTTGATGTTTCTTGCGGCAGAGTCTACGAGCCCTGGCTTCGATTTTTGGTTGCTTTCGTTTCGTCCTCAGAAAGCTCTCTCCCGCCGGACATTGCCCCGTTTGAAAGCCTTGCTGCTGAAGCGATTTGATCATCTTGACATCGATTTGACTGCAGTGGAAAAACAGTCTCTTAGGTGGGGCGAACTGTTTTCTCGAGGCAAGAAGTTGAGGCTGAGTATTACTTTTGAATATCTTTAGGATGAAAATCCCCATATAACTACCTCAGGTAAGGTTGAGAAAAGAGGAAGGTCATCAGTGATTAAACGGATGCTCAACGAAATAGACGTTTAAGTGGATGCCGAAGTGAATTATTCATTTAGGCAAGAATCTTCGCTGTAGAGTCCACTGCTAGAGCAAGTCGAAGGTTGTGTACCAAATAAGGAGCACAATGACAAACTTTCAAGACCTTGCTTGATAACATCAGTCTTGCGATTCAAACACAAACACGAACTACCCTCACCCTCACCATGGAACATACTATGCAGACTTCCCCGCTGCGCATCCATTGGTCTGAGGAAGATCAACCATTTCTATAACCAAGCTCGACAAATGCAAGCCTAAAATCATCCATACGCCCTATCTACTAGACAGTACATACCATCAACACCGCTGTCTGCCAAAAGTCTTCCGAGAACTTCCTGTTGGACTCTGCAGCTAATTTCAAGTATCTGTAGTTGACCTGGTCCGTATCCGCTCGGCAAGAGGTAAGGAGCTAGGACGAGCGCTGATCATCGACTTCCATCGCTGTACTTTGAAATGCCGACCAACTCGGCAGCCACTCCAAGCGGCAAAGAGACGACGATGTGGAGCAGAGATAGTAACTACGAAACGTCTTCGTGTATACTAAAATATAAGATTATCCTGGTTTCACAAATTTGTCAAAATGGACTAGGAGTAATATGCGCGAGAGTAAAGCATAGTCTAGAAAAGCAAAGCAAGCTTAAGGACTTTCGTGTATACAGGTGACTCGCTGACATCGAGGCGCTTGTCGTAAGGCAAGTTCAGATGCTGTCCAAGATAGCTTACTCATCACAACCAATTGCTTGAGATATCAATTGGTGTCTCCGAGGAAGTCCAGCTCGGGAGAAACGATTCAGGAGACCATTGCATGTTGCGCACATCCCACATATTACAAGTCAGGATGAAACGCTCTGCTATGCGCCTTGATCAATTGACAATGGATTGTAGGATGGATTGTAATGTAAAATAATAAACTAGCGCCGGTGGTTGGTTGTGAAGAAAATATGACAGGTTGAGTTGAGGAGATGGCTATGATCCGAGGAATCACCAGTCTTTCAGTTGTTTTCTGACCATCTATTCATATTGATTAAGCGTTTTTATCGAGCGATATTGAGATTCTAACATACCTGTGTCTACATTGCATGCAGCAATAGAATATTGTGCTTCCTTCATCCGCACTGCGGAGCTGCGCTTCGGTCCAGCTAGCTTTTTTGTGGGAACATTGTGGACATTCCATCTCCGTAATTGGCCCATCGCCGATGTCTTCACGTGTAACTTGTTGTGTTCGAGAGCGAAGTTTATCCCTGAGCTTTGAAGGGAAATTGCTCGACTCAGAGATTTGCACATTTGTCAACATTTCGTCTGATGCCTGCGTTTAGCTTGATGAGGAGTTTGGATAGGGCTGACACAAGAGCTTACTATTCGCGATTTTTCCGCACAAGTCGCAGGTTATTTTCTCGATACTAGTGACTGGCAGTAGGTAGCCGCAGTCTTCGCAAAATTGTACCACCATTGTGTAGAGGCTGTCGATATTAGCTGATTGCTGGAAATTTTGGAAGGAATGAAAGAAGGGTTGAAAAGTTTTCATTGCTCGTCACATGATAAATACTTCAGATTTGTCATCAACTGCTCATTGTCACCTGACTGCGCGCGACCAGAGCAAAGAGCACGAGAGTGCCAAGTCAGCAGCTCACCTACAGAAGCAGGAGTGGTAGTAGGATGATTTATATACCCGATCTCGCTTGCCTCTAGTAATAGCCGCTATGCCGGGGTGCTGTGGTCTGCCCAGCAGCGAGGTAATAGTGCTCTGCACCCGAGCATGCGCGCATGGAGCTGGACTTAGGGTTCGCCATATAGGCGGTGGACCCTGGTTCTGCCCACAATATGCCCGCTGCCAAGAAATGAAATACAAGGAGAACGCGGTGAAAGGGTTCCACCAAAGAAACAAAGGAAATATGAAAGAAAATCGATCTCCGCCCTAGTGACACAGCCACCGGCATCCAGCCCGTTTCCAGCTTGATTAAAAGGCCTGCTATGTCTGCCAAACTCCTTTCAAGGTTGTTGCATCTGCTGCGCCCGCAACTTCGTTTTTCCGCCCCGCACACCTCCACGGCTTCGCCGCATCTCCACATCTTCCCCACTCCCACTTCCCACTTTCAACTCCCCTCGCACCACCCATCACCATGTCCTCTTCTTCCCTCACTTCGCCACGCTTTAGCCTCACTTCCATCCCCATGACACGCTATCCCCGGATAAATGACCATTTCCCCGGCCGGTCAACCGCTTCTGCGTCGTTTTCCTGCCTCTCAAGGGAAGGGAGGGGACCTGGCCCTTCTCCCTGCGATCCACGTTTCATCTACCACCATCACACTGCCTGTTAGATCACGCTGGTTGTTCTTGCCGCTCCGTTCCTGGGTCTCGTTAGAATCCTATGACGTCGGGATCAACTGCGTGGAACTGTCCGAGAAGTCGAGTCTTCTCCATGAATGCGGAGGTCGCTGGCACGGCGTCCCTCTCTTGCATGAACTGGTCGAATGACGGTGACGTGCACCCGGGTAGAACCAATAGCCAGCATATTTTGTTATCCCATGTTGCTGGTTTCACGAAGGATTGACTAACAGCATGATATCTCTTTGGGTTGAGGCGTGACGTATGTATCATTTGATCCTTAATAGCTCACGTTCGTATTGTATAGAAATTCACTTATGATATGTGCATGATGTGAAAATTTCCGGTAATCTTGAAGTCTTCCCGCAACGAGAGTAGGGACGTAAAATCCCAAATATGTCGGTAAGCCTGAAGGAAATATTGACTAGGTCAGGAACGTGAAAAGAAACAGCCTGCTCCAGAAGCTATAGTGGTTCGAAGCCGTATCCACTAACTCCGTGCTCACAGTTGAAGATCTTCACCACCGCTTTCCAAATTTTGACCTTGGACCCTCTTAGGTAATATTTTGAGGCATAAGTACACCTAAATAGGTAATATTCTGCTTATAAATGGTGTTTTATACACCCTTGTGAAAAAGGGGACCCTCTGGCCAGGTCTATACCCCGATATCTATCCTTCACAACACTACTTATATTATAATACTACTGAGATCTGCTAGAATTCCCGCGTAATCTTGGTGACGATAGATTGGGCGCAGGTTTCGGCGTCGGCTTTACAGGTCGGTATATTGTAGCTGTAAATAATCGTCTCGTATTCATGAGGTCATCATCTTGGCCATGCCGGAAAAAGGCCACCTATAGTGGCGCAGTGTTTTTCTCGTTCTTGAGGGGTAGTCTCAACTCTGTATGATCCTGAATAACCTGTAAAATAGTTTGCAGCCGCACAGGCTTCGTCAAGAATAGGTCCATGCCCGACGCCATGGCATCGCGTTGAGTATCAACCTGGGCAACGCCAGTCAAAGCCACGATCACCACTCGGGCGTGCGGCTTCAGAGTGCCCTCAAAATGACGGATTTGTCGTGTGCTTTCTAAGCCGTCCATGACGGGCATTGAGATATCTGTACCATGGTTAGTAAATCGTTGACATGGCCCGTGCAAGAAATGGAGATTAACCCATTAGTACAAGGCACACCCGGGACGAATTCTTTGTGAAGACGTCGAGGGCCTCTTGCCCATTCTGTGCAGTGAGATAGTCGAGTTTCAGTTTTTTCATGAAGGCAACCAAGAGTGACAAATTAATAGAATTGTCATCCACCAACAGCACGAGTGGGGAATCTTGCCGAGCCGAGGAACGAATGCCAAATTCCTGTTCGCTAGTGGGCGCGGGAGTTTGCATGTGCATTTGAGCGGAAGACGAATGCGAGAAATAATCTTGTGTCTTGGGAAGAGGCACGCGTCGTCCGAGCGATTCTGTATCTGATTTCGAAGCCAAGTGGCCGATATAATGATCATCCTCAGAAGACTTTGGAGGCCCTGGGCTGGACAATCCTGGGGCATTGGGACCATGAATCCGCCGACCCTGGCGTTTGTAGCAGATTTCCAAGGACTTGGCTATCTTTCTCGGCCCGCAAGGCTGGGTGATAAACTCAAGCACATCAGAATTCCCCCGCAGGCCGGTCGCCTTGGAAAGCGAATGAGCGATCCTTGGCGTTGGGCATATGACAATGACAGGCGAAGTGAATTTTGCCTTTGAATCAGGAACAATGGACTGTATTTCTAGATTTCCTATGTCCAGGTATTCGTGAGGCGCAATGTAAAAGTCACAATGGCCAAAGTGTGGATCCGAAGGCTCGATTGTATAAACTTCCATTTGAAGCCAGTCTTCACATATCTTTCGTAGAGATGAAGATAAAGTTGTGTCAGCCTCAGAGTTGCCTAAGCCTAGGATCCCAACACGTTTCTTGTGCACTAGACGTGCTGTGGATGCAAATGGATCATCTTCCGCGCTTTTACTCGACACATTTTCCGAGCGACTATGTCCAGGGACATGGTCCAGGACGAAGGACACGATGACTTGAGTGCCGACGCCCTTCACGGATGTTATTTTGATTTCGCCACCAAGCGATGCGATCGTTCGTTGCACGATATTGGCACCTAGTCCATTGCCAGGCGACAGATCATCCTCCTGCGAAAAGGCAGTGAAGTATCCATTTCTTACAAACTCCGGGTCCATTCCGCAACCAGTGTCTTTCACAGAGATAGTGACTCTCGAACGCACAGGCTCCTCTTCCCGCTTCGAAAGCACAGGCTTTGCCTCGACAGAGACGAAGATATAGCCTTGCTGAGTATATTTGAGGGCGTTCCCGAGCAGGTTGGTAAGAATGAGATGCCATGCGCCAGGAATTGTGGCAAATTTCCAGTGTGAAGCGCTATTAATGTCAAGGATCACCTTCACCGCACCTGGCAAACCGGCAAATTGGCTGCGACCGGCGCTTGCGCCAAGGGCTCCTCGAAGTGGCATCCGGGATTGGTCAAAGAAGGCGAAGCCTGCAAAGACGGTCTCGACGATGCTTTCCACTGCATAATCTATTTGGAGGCTAGCTTGGGCATCAGGTTCGGCGGCTGATGATGGTCCAACGCCATGGACTCGTTCCATATCGTTTATACTGGAGAACTCGAGCAGTTGATTAATTGAGCCGAGCAGGGTATTGGCGCAAGAAGCGACCGTATGCACAAATCCTCGTTGAAGAGCATCCAAAGTTGTATCATTCAGAAGGTCTGCCGTGCCGAAGATGCCGTGGAGAGGGGATCGGAGCTCATGACTCAGACTAGCGAGTAAATCGCGCTTGGCTTGGTCTGCAAACAAAGCACCAAGTCTGTGGACTTCAGCCATAAGGCTGGTGCCAAGTACCGTGCAGAAGATTAATTCGTCGTCGACGGTAAAGATGCGCTTGGGAGATCTTGTCCACGCGATTGTCCCCGCATACCATCTTGATTTATGGGAGTCCCAAATTGGGGAGAAAATAATACTTCGAGACTCGGGAGCGACAGTCAGTAGGGTCTGGGCATCCTCTCGCAGAACCGATCTCCGTGTCTTTTTATACCTTTTTCCCCCACGGGGATTGAAGTTTTTAAAAACGCCATCGCTCGTGTCTCCAGTTGAGATGGCGCCATCTTCACCAAAATTGAAGATTTTGCCTCGAGGATACCGACGAAATAGCCCTGCAAGGAAGGCTTCTGATATCGAAATTTTGGCATCTCCCGTCAACTCTTCGTTGACGCTGGCGGCAGTCGAGGTGGCAAACCCGAGAATCTTGGCGGGGTGCACTGATGCTGAGCCGGAGGTTTGAGCCCCTGAATCTACAATCTTGGGCGGCGCACTCTTTCCTGGATTACCTTCTCCTTCGCTTGCGGAGCTCCCCAGGCTGCTTTCGCAATCAGACTTGTTGCTTGCCACCAGGGCATCTTGGCCACTAAAATTAGCGTCGAAGTAAGCGATCCCCTCAACCTCGATGCTTTCACGAACGATATTGGCGGCACGTGAGAATGCCGCTTGGACTTGTCCCGTCAACGTTTCTCTTTCAGTACGGGTCTTCGTTCTAGCTGGCTCGGGAGACTTGGATTGATTCCTCGTGGATTGTGATGGAGCGACCGTTGATTTAGTTAGGGCATTTATTTTACCAGCCTTCGAGGGAGGGATGGAAGGATTGAGACGGAAAGGCATGTTACTTTGGCCCCTCTTCCTGACTAGGACATCGGTCATAGTTTCAGCGCGTTGTTTGTCTTGCTGCGGAGTATTTAGTTGCCCTTCCCCATCATCGACTTGGCCAGGGCTCGAAATTTCCTCGTTTTCTTCTACCCACGAAGTACGCAGACTCCCTTTCCCTTCTAAAAAACTTCCCAGTCCGACCATCATGCGTTCGCCTCGAATGTGTTGGGCACGAGACCGACTAGTGACCAAGTAATCCATGACGGTCTCTGCCATGTTCGACAAGAGCTTCAAGATATCGGGGCCAGGCAAGGGCCGAGGTTTGTCGTCGAGGATCGTGTAGGCGCCGATCACGATGCCTCTGGGGCTTATTATTGGAGCGCATGCTAGGAAGCGAATACTGGGATAGCTGGTGACATCGGGATGATTGTGAAAAGCCTCATCCTGGGTCAAATCAGGGACCAGGAAAACTTTGGGTGTTGCAAGGGTAGGTTGAGAGACGGACGACGCGGAATTGGCAACCGCGGCACAAAAACTGCGGTCGTAAGACATGGTACAAGCCCCAACCCAGAGCTCATCCAGGGCTCTATGATCGGTTTCATCTCGCAGGCTGAGCGTCCGGGTTGCTTCGGTTAAGATATGCTCTTCGTGCCGACCAAAGAGCGAGATGATGACTCTTTTGGCGTCTAGCCGTAATGCGCCTAGTTGCGCGAATGCAGAAAGGGATGAATCGAGAGAGGGATGCGCGGTAAAGTTAGCGGAGAGAGTATTCCGGTCGACGTGTTGCAAAGGGGTTGTCACGAGCGGCAAGTATCTGGGAAGGCAAACCTAGGTTAGTTTCTTGCGAGCAAATGATCTCAAGAACCAAGGCTGACTTGAAAAATTCGCGTTCCCTAGTTGTACCGAAGCTCATCAGCCTCGACTGGTTCTCCAGAAGAGAGGCAGGACGAGACATTGCCGGGGTATCGAAAAAGCAAGTCCAAATGCGATGAGCACAAAAGAAAAAACTCGCCCGGTCATCGATAAAGGGGAGCGAATTGGTGGCATGCGGGGCCAATTCAATGGGAAATCTTGTTTTGTGGCGAATAAGCTCGAACGATAGCGGGTGAATGGTGGAGCAAGAAGCCTTGGTCGATTGATGGCTAGACTCGGGAAATGAAAAAATTTTCCGCTTGAGCTCGTTGAAAATCTAACGCGGATGCTACTTTTCGATGCTGTTCTATCAATCGTAGCCTTTACTGCATGTACTCTGGATTTACTCTGCTCACCGCAAATCAAATGACTGGCTTACCTATTGGCCCCACTATGCCCAGGGCGAGGATAAGCCGGAGACTTTGAAGTATCATCCCGTAATAATTCTTTTAAAGCTTCCCAGCACTGCCTTCATTCCACCAATGGAAGGTTCACAGATACGACCAGAAAATCTCGTCAGTATAATCATGCTTAGTAGAGATATCACGACGAGAATAATGCTAGATGATAGAGAAGCGTTTTAGAACTCGGGTTCCCAGACTTCTCAGACTACGGAACTATTTGAACCCAAGTACCACGGCCAGGAAAATTCTGGAACCTGAGTCGCAGAACCAAATCAATTCCAGATCGCGGGTCGCAAGACTCACGCGGTTCCAGAACTACCGAAGTACTCGAACTCGAGTTTGACGACGAGCAGAGTTCTAGGACTGTGGTCACAGAACCAGCTCGGGAATCTATTATTTTTATTTCTAAAACAGTCTAAGATTCAAAGTTGGATCTTGGTGGGTCTAGTTGAGGATGAGTGCCAGGTCTATTTTAGGACCAATACAGTCCCCAGAGCCTCTTGATGATCTCTGGCATCCATATAGCGCCCCTGGGAACAGTGTTTCATAGTTCTAGGAGCCTTGTTACTCCTGCTGTAACGGTCTTTGTGGGAACTATGATTACTTCTCAAAAATAAACCCGTCTTCCACCGTTAATTTAATAAACTTTAGCTTTTCTATTTGGCCTGTCTCCGCAGCCACTTCTCAAAGCCATCGGAGCTTAACTGGAGGCATATGGTCTTTCGAACGTATCTGTGTTGTTGATAATCCAAGAATTGCAGGCATCATACCTCCTGTGAGAGCCATGACGCTAACGAGAAGAAATCGGCAAGATCGACCAACGAGTCTAATAAGACCGAAAACAACAGGTCACAGCTCTCACAGTTATCACGACTTCGGTCATTAGAAATTTGAGAGTTGCTGGGCGTGCTCTGCATGCTTGATGTCATTCTCCGAGAGAAGGATGCGCGTTGAAGGAGGAAGCTTGGCCTTTTGGGCAGCTACCAGCTGCATTAATTGATATGCCTCCTTCGCAAATGGCCAGCGGTGCGCAAAAGTGCGAAGACTGACCAAAACATCCTCAAAGGCCTTGATATTATTCTCATCTTGCAGGTTTTCCAAAAGTGCAAATAGAGCGACAACCGCATAATGTGTAGATTCCACCGACATAAACTTCACAGACCACAAAGAGCGGTATTGGTTCAGGATTGTACGTATACCCCAGCCTGCGAAAACCAATAGGCTTTTGAACCGCTTCTGAATATCTCTTTCACTGTCTGGGGTGCTTGCTTCGACCCACCTGGACAAACACGCGACTGCACTGTAATATCGCATACTTCACGACGATGGGGTCAGATTTAATTTGCAAGGATCAATTAGCTTGACTCACCCCATCTCTATGAAAGCGGGAACTTCTGCATTATCGATGGATTCTGAATTATCTTCGGCCCACTGTTGTAGGCGTGCGTATAATGAGTCGATCTTCGTAAGGTCAGAGCAAGTAGGCTTCGCCTCCCGAAACAGGTAATTAGAACAATCTCGCAAGATAACGGCCAGATCGAACATAGCTCTCGTCACATGATAAGAGTGGACTGGAACTGGGTCAGCTTGTCTAGGATAAGGGATCCATGGGCCTGTCGAGAATTGAATTTGCGGGAAATTCTCATACAAGAGGCCTTTTATCATTGATGGTTTTTCTAACCTCAGCGTGGCATGTCTACGCGCGTGATTAGTTTATGAATATAAGTGTGGTGAATTGTACTTACGAATTCAAACTGAAGAGGCCGCATATTGCAATATCAATGACTCTTGCCATCTCCTGGCCCTCATGATTCGCTTCTTCTATGAGCGTCTCTCGACTTTCAGTCACTTGACTGATACAGGCTGCCATTTCGGTCAATTGTTGCAGGGCCAATTTTTCCCTACCCATCCCACAAGCCCTGTCCAATTTAATCAATCTTCACCGTCTGTGCGATCCTAGAAAAACTCGAGCGGTACGTACCAAGTATAAAGATTCCCTCTCGCTTGTAGGGAGGGAAGAGACAATTCTCCGTTTTCTTTGCGAAGCAGAGAAATTGCCTCTTCAAAGAAATGTTCACCGCGGGAACTGATTACATTTGGTACAACAAAAGCTTCATCGTAGTCCGAGTAGAACTGTGCATTGAAAATCCCATCAGCGATCTGTATTCCAAGAAGTCAATATACAACTCACGCAGGCCACAGCTAAAATGCTATTAACAAGCAACGGTGAGCAGAAGTGAGAGCTTAAGTCCTTGGAGCACATATCTCGTAGAAACAGGTCACGATCTAGGTAATACGAAATAGAGTGCTGCCATGTAAAATAAAGAGAAATCAGGTGAGAAGCGAAGTCGTCGTCAGCTGTGGTAGACGTCCATGGCTTCGCAGGAACCTCGAAAATAGGGATATCAGATAGACGATTTATGTCCATAAATTTACTTCGGTTCTGTTGGTTTTGTCTGGAAATGTTATCGTAATTGTCGGTAGCAGGGCTTTGAGCTAGATAATGTCGAATTTCCGCTAATGTCCCTTTATCGCGAATCAGCTTCAAAACTCCTGAAGCCGTTTGCGCATCATCCATGCGTATGGTCTCCACGAGTTTAAGAAGCAAGTCACGGTCCTGTTCCAGCGATTCGATTTGTTGGATGAACTTGATTTTACGACGACCGTCGTTCTCGGTATTGATTACGCACTCTGTCTCAGCTTTTTGACAAGGAACGCAGGGTACACCCCCTACACACTGGTCAAAGTCAGGGGGTGGCACTTTTTCTTGCGGGTAGCATCCGTACTTTTGATCTCCGTTTTTGACAAGCTGAACAGGCAGTGCTTGCTTTCCGATGCTGCGGTATGAGAGTTTCCCCAGCCTCGCAAGTTTTTTCAGTAGGATGCAGAGCAATATCAATGTATGACTTGAGTGGTAGCATGTCGTATAAGTTTGTCCTAAGGGAAAAAGCTCGAGATGGATACTTTTGCTTAAAAATTCAGCCGGTGGCGGGAACCCGCTGATATGTAATATTTATACAGAGGATCATCCCTATCGATATATACAGGGTTACGTCATAGCGTCATCAATCGTATGTTTGACACGGCTGGGCTTGACTTGGTGTGGTACAGCGATAGTCGAATCCAGCTTTACCTGGAATATCTCCCTCCTGGTTTTCCAAAGTCCCACTTCAAATGCATAGTCCATTTCAAGAAATTTCTCCGCTAGCCTTAATTTTGTTTGAGATGAGCCGACCGGGTGGCTCGCTCCGCTGGGAATTACGTTAGTAATTTTAGTTCTTATCTGGCAACACAATATGAGCCTCCGGGTTCTGTTGTCTGAATAATGAAATTTCTTAGTTATCCGCAACAATAGAAATCTGTTTCATTTCCATTTCCCACGCACTTGCTCATGCGCTCCAACGTGAACCACGCTAAGCTCGACTAGAGGTCTCCTCACTTCCCAGAATGAAACCTGTATCTTATCTGCCATGTCAAACTTACGTGCACCTTTCATCACCGACAAGGGTATTATGCCTAATCGTATCGAATATGAGGGAGCCGACTACAAATTTCCAAAAACAGATTGCACCTAGATGCCAAAATCCGGTTATGAAGGTAAACCTTGTCCACTCTGACGTGATATTATAATTCGTCTCTACATTCCCTAGCTGCCGGCTATGTTCCCGCGAATCATATTTATTTATTCAAACAGGGATAACAACAGGATACAGCGCTTAGCTCTATGGTCAAGGAGTAGAGATAAAGCCGCCATTCCCGGGCTATCATATTGGGGATTTGATCCGATTCCAGAAACTGCGCCACATCCACTACTGGATCACTCCGGGGACGACAAAGATCCAAGTTGGGAGATACCAAGGGGTCCATCTGCTCCTCGTACCAAGCAGTCCATGTCGCATTTTTCAAAGGAACCATCAAAAGCCCCGGGATTTGGTGGTTCTTGGATGGGCTTGATGAACCCTGACGACGGGAATTGGTGGTCCTGGAGACGGGATTTGATGGGCCTGAAGAGAATAGGTGAATGTCGACCAAGTAAAGCGACAAATTTTCGCATCTTAGGATACGTGAAGGCTTAGAACTAGTTGGTGGTAGTGGAAGGATGACTTGAAAACACAGTACTTGTCTCTCCTTGGTGACTTCTTTTGTGCAGCACAAAAGCTTCCCCTAACGGAGGCCAAAAATGAGAGTCGAGGTATACGGTAATGCACCGATGTGTCTAATCGTCGCTAGGCCCCGAGAATGACAAAAACGGTCCTATGTAGCTCGTGAGGCCTTGATCGCTCCAAAAGACCAAGTGATTCCGACTCTAGACTTGAGGGGTGCACCTGTTGTGGATATTTGATTACTCACCAGTCCTGATTCCGGACGGCTTAGCTCAGACAGTCCTTGCAAAAACGGTATGATTGCAACCGAGAAAGTATGTCTCTAGAGATCCTTTGGCCGCCCGTGGCCAGGACCACTAGACTTGTCTGTAAGACAACTCAACATTATTTTCAGGACAGCCGACCAAGCCCGTGTCCAGGACCGCCAAATCTGTCCCCAGGAACACTATATCGGTCTCTAGGATCACCACATAGGCCACCAGGAACACCAGGCCCGTCTCCAAGATCACTAATCAAACCTGTCTCTAGCACCATTGAGCCAGAAAGACACAATCTCTGGATGCTAAACAAGAACCCGAGCTACTGTATAACATTTTCGATTTTTAACCAAGACTAAAGCGCTATTCCGGAAAGATCCTGAGAGGGGCCAGTCAAGATTCTTTCCCACCTTTACCACGGTATCTCTTCGGGATAAAGCTATCAGACCGCCTCAATCTGGATAGTATAGATAGGAGAAGGAACTGGCCAGGGAGAATTTGGTTAGTCGAGCGTACACGGACGATGACCGCATCCCCCCTCAAGGCAGGAGAGATAACGTGATGTCTCGTCTAGTGCCATCGAACCCTGGCGCATCAGTAGACAGGTCGATATTCTGTTAAATTTGGACGGGCTGTCAATCTTGATGTTTCTAGAACGAGACTGGAGTGGCGTCGCTGTTTAAACTCGGGTACATCGCAGAGAACACGGCTGCTTCCAGGAACAGTGCATGTGATGCGAGGAGCAACAAGGTTCCCAGGAACAAAGAACACAGTTCCCAGAACCTTTTGAACCGTCTTTAGGATTGACGCGAGAGCCTCTGGGAACAGTGTTGCTCCTGGCATCACATATGCACTGTTCCTGGGATCGACACTGTGATCATGTGGGTCCATCACCTCGTGCGAGTCCTTGATACTGATGGAACAGCCTCTGAAGCCGTAGATTAGGACTCCACCCAGCTATAGTGGTTCTAGGAACGCATCAGTAGGCCCCGGAAACCTGATTACTCGTAGAACTACGGGCGCAGTTCCCAGGAGGCAGCCGATCGATGGTACTCCAAGACTGTGCTCCGAATTTGATTGCGGCGAAGCAGATGTAAAACTGCAGACCGTGTATTCTTTCGCAATGACTAGCATGCCTCCGTACCAGAAGCCGAGGGCCATGCAAAGAAAGACAAGTGATTGCGACACCGCATATAGAATGGATGCCTTGATAACAGGTAGGATATTAAGTCGACGCTGCTTGCCAAGCGCAGCAGAATAAGTTTGTGCGACATGGTGTTCGAGCCCGAACGAAGCCGTGGTCCGGATCATCGCGATGGCTTCACACACGCCAGTTGCTGATTCAATGTGGCATTTTTTGGTATGAACTTGATACTTGGAGAGAATGCCAAATCGAAGATAGCCACATACGATAAGAATCGGTATGGAAGACGCCGTTACTAAAGCCAGCTTCCATCCAATTGCAATGGAGAGAATAAGAGACCCAAGGAGGGTCGTCACCACGTTGAGCAGGCTGCCAAGTGTGGTTCCACTGAGTCCGGCAATGTTTGATGCGTTGCCAGCTATGGTTGCAGTGAGCTCCGCGGTGGTCATCTTGTCAAAGTACGATGCATCTTGCCGAAGCATATGGCGAAATTGCTCCATTCGTACGCGACGTACGAGTCGCTCGCCGCAATAGGCAAAGGCGACACCTTCAATCGAAAATGATAGTAATTGGCCAGCCGCCAAAACTATGTACATGATGCTCCAAAAGCTTGTGTCGCTTGTCAGACGCGCTCGATCTTGCGTGACATTGAACTGAGTCATGGCTACAATCAGCTTCGCCAGAAAGACTGCTGACACAGGAAATCCAGCGCCGCATATAATGGAGCAGAATAACCCGAGTACCATCCAATGTTGTTCTGGTAAGTTGAGTCGTGCAACTGTGCGTATGAGTGTCCACGTCGTAATATGTTGTTTGCTGTTTTCGCTTGGCTGGGAAATTTCACCAGCTTCTTCATCGGCTCCTCCATCTGGATAAAGTTTTACGGAATGTTCGAAGCTTTGCATTTCCGTCTTCTCTTGCCGTGATACTGTTTCGCTTGTGGCAGCGTCTGTAGCTTCCTCTATAGCGCTCTTCTTCTCATTGATCTGCTGTTTCGAGATGAGAGTGGAGTACACACCACCTTTTTCGAGCAACTCGGTATGTGTACCTTCTTCCACCACAGCGCCGTTGCTGAGAACGATGATTTTATCCGCCTTCTTGACGGTAGAGAGACGGTGTGCAATAATAACGGTAGTCCTAGAGCCAGAAGCGCTGTCAAGCGCTGCTTGTACGACTTTTTCTGATTTCGAGTCTAAAGCCGATGTGGCCTCGTCTAGAAGCAGAATTTTCGGGTTTGAAACGATCGCACGGGCAATGGCTATACGCTGTTTCTGACCACCAGAGAGCAAACCGCCAGACTCGCCGATTTCAGTGCTGTAAGACTTCGGGAGGTTGGAGATGAAATCGTGAGCGTTGGCTAGTTTCGCAGCCTGCTCTATAGCCTCTCTCTTTACATCAGGAGGAGAATGCTCCAGATCGGCCCCAATAAAGCCGTATGCAATATTGTTGTATATAGACGTATTGAACAGCATCGATTCTTGGCCAACGAGCGGCATCTGTCGTCGGATCCACCGAGGATCTAATGTGGTTATATCGTGCCCATCTAGTAATACTTTGCCATCGATTGGCTCGTAAAATCGGTGTAGGAGACTAATGATGGTAGATTTGCTGGATCCGCTTGCTCCAACGATGGCAGTGGATTGGCCGGCTGGAATAGTGAGGCTTAGATCCTTCATGACAGTGACTCCTGGCCGCGAAGGGTAGATCAATTTCACATTTTCGAATCGGATCTCGCCACGAACGGCAGGCAATGTTGACCCAGATCCGGATGTCGGGTCGATCGGCGATTGTCTGTCGATGACGGCGAATATTTTCGCGGCCACAGACAGGCTCTTGATCAAAGCTCAAAGGTTGCTTGGCATGTTTCCCACCGAAAATGTGCCAGTCATGATGGCGAGCAGGATAGTAACAACGGAAGCCAGGCGGATGTCGCCTGCACCGAGAAACCTGGCGCCTTGCCAGAAGGAAATCGCGTATCCAAGATACATGATGAGAAATGTGACGCCAAGCATAATGCCAAAGGTTGCTTAAATGCGAAATCCAGGCTTCTCGGCCTTGGCTAGACGTCCATCGTGAAGTTGAGCTAGCTTCTCCTGGCTCCCGAAGGCCATGGCGATTCTCACAGAACCAAGGACTTCGTTTGCAAGGCTGTCTCCTTCGGCGTACAAGCCGTACGACTCTGTCCCCCATTTGGTGACTAAATGAGAACCGATTGCCATCGTCATGATAATACTAACAGCCATGGAGCAGAGCATAAGTGTCAACTTCCAGTTATTTGCAAAGCAAACCACCAGGGCGCTCACAAAGGTTGCTAGCGCAGCAAATGCGAGACCCAGCTTTTCTGAGATGCCATCTTGCAGTAAATTCGTATCGGCCGTAATGCGGGTCGTCAACTCCCCGGTTTGGATCGTATCGTAGAAGCCGATGTTTTGTCTCAAACAAGCCTTCACGAATTGCTCCCGCATGCCGCAGCTAATTCGCTCGCCGAAATGCATGAAACCGGCCGTTGACAGAGCTACAGTGAAGAATTCACCGATGGCCAGGTATATCAAATACAGAACAGTATTCACAGTTTTGTCATTCAGGTCATGTTGATCCAAGACACCGCTGTACGCTTCATTGAGAACTCCTGCCAACCTTCCAAATGCAATGGACATTACCGGGAGCGCTGCGCTGCCTGCGATAGCAGCCATGGCTGAGATGGAAAGCACTACATAGTCGTAAGTTGTCGCATATCGAAGTAAGGTGCCGATATTGGCTTTGACGTCTTGAAGCCTCCAGCCAGCTATCGTTACTTGGAGGCATGTTATGAAAATGTCGAACATAAACAGGGTGGGAATCCGTGTTGGGATTTCTTGATTATAAGACCTTAAATGCCTATGATGATGAATTCATTCGCCCGATGTTGCTCACTCTATATAAATGCTGCTATGCGGGAGTGCTGTCGGGCCTGCCGACAGCTTTAAAAAAAGGTGACCAGCCCATTGGTGACCTTTAAGAAACTCGTAGCCCGAGCCTCTCGCTGGCCCCATCGAATGTAGAAACAAAACAATAAAACAACAAAGGAAAGCAGATGTGTAAGTGTTTAACCACTTGCACCGCATTAAAATGAACGTTCCTGGCACTCACCGCCTTGGCTTGGGCTCCGCTCCACCTTTACACCACCTGCCCCAAACTTGCCCCTGTAATCTCCGTCACCCATCTTATCTGTCGGCAACCGCTAGCGCGCTCGTTTGACTCAAGAGAGTGCAGTTGACCTGGCACTCCACTCCTCGCGGGCACTATTCTTCTTCTTCCGTCACACTGTTCTTGGGGGTCATTCTCTCTCTACTTCTTCTACACCGAGAGCAGTTGGATCCACTGCTTGGAACTGGTTCAGAACCCCTGTTTTGACCATAAAGTCGGCAACGGTAGTGCGCGCTTCGGGGCGTGTCAGAAATTCGTCTCGACGAATGACGATCCCTTGCCCCGACAGGGCGCGCCGCATCCAGTCCCGCTCCGCTCGGTGGAGCGGGCACTCCAGCAGGACGTGAGTCACTGTCTGGTTGCCCAATTCGCAGTCGCATCGTGCCGACTCTCGTCGGTTGATGCGAGCGAGATAGGCGCTTAGTCCGATTCGTCCTGTGCGCAGCTGTATCAGGATTGAGGTAGTTGCTTTGCGAAGCCCAAACCAATATTGGAGTGTCTTCTTTGTGGGTACTTCGATCAGTCGCCTGGTCGGCCGACTGATCTTTTCTAGCGCCCATGCCCTCTCCCACTCGATTTTCGCCTCTCGGTGCAGCCGCCGTTTGGCTGCAGCCGCGAGGCAGATGGACCGATTGAGCGAGTTCCGCGGTTCTTCGAGCCTCTGTGCAGCTTCTTTCGCGTGTGTGTCCACGATCTCGTTGCCTGCCACACCTTGGTGAGCTGGAATCCATCTGAGTTCCGTTCGAATGCCCTTGTTCGCCAATTGGCGGATAAGGTCCAGGCATCCAACCAGGTAAACCTGGCCAGAGGGCATGCGCGGTCGTCGGAGCGCTTTCAGTGCCGCTTGGCTATCCGCGAATATGGTCAAGCCGTTTTTTGCGCGTCTGAGCCTGGACTCATTGCCACCGAGAACTAATTCCAGAGCCATCTCTATGGCCCGTAGCTACGCAGAGTACACGGTTGACGAGTCGTCATCACCCATTTGGCTTAGAGCGATGTGCTTTCCCGTCTCATCTACTGCTGCTGCTCCTACTTTACTCTCGATGCCGCTTCCGTCAGTATACATAATCAGGGGTTTCTCTTCTGGGGCTTTCCCAAGTATCTGGTTATGACGTTGCACAGCAGCGTCCCGGTCCTCGATCGTCACATTTGGCGGTGCTTGCCACGGTGCCAAGACGAATGCCTTTCGACTCTCCCAGTTTCTCGTCAAAGCTCCCGAGGGAGTCGTTAGACATCCACCCGGTTTCCAGGCTTGAGCCTCCATGGGTGACCATCCAGACCAGTCTCTCTCACCTGCCGGTCGACGTCGAAGCATCGTTGGTGGGATAGCGAAAACAGGACCCGTTCGTAGTCTCAGTGCCGCAAGACTTGAAGAAAATCATCACCCTTGTCGTGTAAGACAGAGTCTGCATCGAGATGATCCGCTGCGGTCTTCAGGTAAAAAAACTTTAACATTGATATCCGCGAAGCAATGCCGACATAGACGACAAAAGCTCGGTTTTCCCAGCAGCAGTTGTAGCGAAAGACTTTTCTCCACCGGCAGGGGCTGTATGCCTTGACCTTGCTCGATAATGCTCGATAATTTTGGTGATAAAAACCGACCCGAGGCTGCCGTACCTTTTGAGGAGCTCTTGAAATTGAGCCTTTTGAACAGAAACATGGAATTTTCTTAGCATAGTGTCAAGGATGATATTCTGAAGAGTGGAGATACCGGCAATCTGGGAATAGATTATGTCTTTTGCGACGAGGATAAATGAAGAGGATTGCCAATGCCACTCCGCCCATGCGGAAAAGTTCTGACAGGCCAGTGACTCTAACGAATCAATCCGATATTTTCTAGCCGCAACAGCAACCCGAGCATGGACATGAGCAATGCGGCGAATACCTTCCATAACGCCGGACTGTCTTGATGATGGATCTGGTTCTTGTTCAATCATATGCATGATCTTACCAGCGCCGGGAAGTCGACCATTTTGGAGATTATCTTCGTAATATCCTTTGTATAGGAAATCGAGAACTCGTATGAAGGTTTCAGCTTCGTCTTGGGCAAGTTGATGGTGCAATGTGCAGATCTCTATGCAGGTAAGCATACATGATGAGCGCTTGATGACTGATAATACCTGAAGTTCATCGTTAACGGCATTTTTGAAGTAAAGAGACTGCGTGCAGACGACTGAACGATGTTTTTTTCCATGCTTTGCTATGTGGCAAATTGATATCAGCCAAAGAATGTTGTCAAGCAAGGCTATTACATAGTCCGGTGGGGTTTCTTCCTTGATCATATCAAATTCCCCATAAACACCAAATGAAAAATGAACCTAAAGCTTACTTTCATTTTTCGAAATTTAGTGCATGTCGACGGCAAGGTTCGATTTAGTCGACACGGGAAGTAAGTTTGGGCGCTCCGGTACTCGCAATGTCTCCCGCGCATCCAGACATGAGATTACACTGCCAAGGCTTCATTTTCAAAATTAAGACACGCTAGACCTTATCAGGCGAAAATAAAAATAGTAATTTTCCAGTCTTTTATAAATACAGTCGCTTACATAGCCTAAGTCATGCATCGTATGCTTCTGTGTGTATGGCAGATACAAGTATTGCTGGAATCTTCCAGAGAAATGCAAACAGTTCAAACAGCTTCTGCACAGCTGGATCACGCGGATCTGACAACCTTTGATCCCCTCCTAGAGCTAAATATATACCCACATTTTTAAATCACCAACAGCATTCTCAGTACTCACTGAATCTGCACAGAGTTCTATAAACTCAATATCCAGAGGTTGTTCGTTGGGCATTTTGCGTAAAACCTCATCATTCGTCTTGTCTATAATCCTATCGGTGTCCAAAAATATGAGCTCTTTTACGCGTGTACTGTCAGTGGAGGATTTCCCGCAAATTCCTCGGACGAAATTTTCAGCAGTTCGTTCTTGAAGGTACACGGCACGAAAGATATCGTCGTCTCTGTGATAGCCCTCTTCTTTATGAAGGCGAAAGTAAATGCAGAGCGCTACTTGTGTCAGTCAAGCGCGCCATCTTGGAATCTCTAGCTTAACGAACGCAATTGCTTTGGTTTGAAGTCAGACTCCGCTGTCAAGGGCGCTCGTTCCCGAATGAACGCTATTTGCGGGCGATCTGCTGTTGGGGTGAGGTCTGAAGATTCTTGATCCAGGCCCAGGCCCCACTCTATTTCACTTTCATTTGAACCCTCGTTGGATCTTGAGGATCCCTCGTTAAATGACAACGGACATGCGAACTTGTTTGGTCGAAAATGATCGCCAAACTTTAGGCTGAATGCTTCTAACAGCTGTGCTGGCCTGCATGGATCACATGAAACTTAGCCTCGGTATTTATATACTTTTTAAGGTTTTGTCCATACCTTTTTTTCGACATGAGAGTGCGAAGATTGAGGAATCGCGTCGATGACAGTCGACTGGGTTGTGTGGATACTGCGAAAGGGCGTTACCTAATATTTATTCCGGAGAAATGTATCCCCGGTCTTCCTCTAGTCCAACGCGTCGTCTACCCGCCTTGCTGATCATGTGGACCAGAATCAAGTACAGAGCCGCCACGATTCACCTTCCTTCACGGAAACATTAAGAGAGACCCTCGCAATTCCTGCCTACATAAGTTAATTCTTCAAGGTAAAAATTGTTATTTTTGGGTATTTCGATCAATAGTAGATATTGAAACAGACTGTCGATGTGTATGATACAGTATTGCCAATCAAAAACAAGCCTCAGTAATCGTGAACAACCCCTTGGGCTCCCTAGACGATCAATGAAACCCAATTAATCTATTAGAAGTAATATACAATTTAAGCCTTGCTCTTTGGAGGTTCAACCTAAGATCTGCTTCAAAACAATCCGCTTATCTAGACTGCGGCATATCCTCTCCTAGGCTGTGCCATAACCCGCAAATGGGTAGGTCAAGTCAACCCGCAACCCTCCCCATGCGGGTTGCGGGTTGGGTTGCGGGTTACCCACGCTAGCCCATCTTTACATAAAATTCTAACACTATCCCTAAATAGGATGGATAAATCTGATTATTCATATGATTGATTACTGTTATTTACATATGTTTTGGTCACGCATATGAATTTCTGGTTATTCAATAATAAGTAACATGAATTTGAAAGAAATTAGGTTATATGTAAAAAGAGCGAGTCTGGTAATAGTACTATTCTTAAAATCCAATATAGTTAAAGTAGGTTATGGTTGTTTAAAGGATTTTGGGTGGGAAATGATTGGTTAAGTTGGGAATATATATCTTTAACATGGAACTGTTGAAGTGCATTTACTAGAAGATCATCTAAACTTCTTTGCCCTTGTGTTATAATTAGCTTAATTTAAACGTTCTTAGACTGCAATTAATATATTATCCTAATGTTACTTTAGATGTAGACTTGTTTTATTATTGTATCTTCTTGATTGACCAGGAGATCAGTTTAAAGTTGATCTATTACTGCTAAGTATACCTTAGGATTTAAGAAGGTCAACCTGTTGGAATATTTTGGGTAAATGGGTAACCTGCAAAGTCAATGGGTTATTGCGGGTTTCTTATGGATTTCTCGCGGGGTTCTCGCGGGTCTGTTGTGGGTTCTCGCGGGTTCTTGCGGGTTCTTTGCGGGTTACCCATAAATCTATTAAATCTACCCAATAGGAATCGTAGATTATAGGTTAAGTTATGATAGATCAACATACTCAGTTTTTAACCATGCAGCGCAATCACATCCCCTGTTTATCACTGAATCCACGAATTCGCAGTCTGAAAAATTTCTCGTAAGTGCCCATAGTCTCATATTCTTCTAAAGCATCTATTCCCCCTCTTTGCTTTTTATGTCTCAACTCCAATACTCTGATGCTGATGGCTTCTCATCATCTATCTACGATGGTGATATAGAGAATCTTACTTTTCTTCCACCAGAGAACTCGCATCTACTATACACATCCGATCTCTCAGTCAGCCAGCAGACAATTAATTCCTTTGATCAAGAGTTTCTTCGACCATCCGCTCCTCTTACGATCCCTTTATCTCTTACACGCGTTGGCCCAGATCGTCGAAAGGGTTACGTCCTCTACGAGAACATGACACATAGTGATTGGGTGGATTGGTGGCTTCAGACTGACTTTGGGAAACAAAGTAGGATACGTTGGGACTCAAAACACCATTCTGAAGTTTGGAACCAGTTCGATCAGGTAGCAAATGCCTCTGATGGTGCGCCAAAGGTGATGTGTAAACGTTGCGGGCAGATCCTTGAGCATCCCCAATCTCTATGCGCTGGAACTACTATGCGCCATGGAACTTCGTCAATGAATAAGCATTTAAAGGGTATCAATTGTCGCAATTCCACCAAAAACAAGACGCAAATATCTGGTATTACCCAGTTTATACAGACAGCTGTAAGTATCAAATATTTATCTTTTCTTCTAACTTCTTTAATATTGATTTTCATAGAGCAGAAACCCTTCAACCGATCAGAAATTTACACAGGACACATGGGAACAGAAGCTTCTTACTCTCCTTACCGTTGCACGGCTTCCGTTTCGACTAGTCGAGCACCCTGAATTCCACAGCCTTATCAGAATGGCCCAAACCGCCCCAACGTGCCCTGAGATCCCCTCACAAAAAACCATTCGACGCCGGCTACACACTACGGTGAAGGAGAGACAGGAGGATATACTCCAGAACTTACCCGCTGGGTCTAAGATATCGATCGCGCTTGATTGCTGGACATCTCCATTCTCACAGGCATTTATGGCTATCAGTGGCTATTTCATTGATGAGGACTGGCAGTATCGTGAGATCCTTCTTGGATTCGAACCGCTTTATGGAACACACTCTGGTGCGAATCTAAGTGTAGTTCTCCTCGAGACCCTTCAGCGACATAAAATTGAGGATCGAGTTCTTGCAATTGTTACTGATAACGCATCAAACAACAAGACGTTAGTCGATACTCTCCAGCAATCTATGTCAGATGATATTACCCTAATACGGGTTCCCTGTATCGCTCATGTTATTCAACTCAGTCTGAATGGGCTTCTGGGATCTATGAAGGCTGACCCTCTGAATGAGACAACTGAAGTACGATGGACTGAGCAGCGGTCCCAGTCAGCTCGCATGAATGCGAAGCATCATGGACGAGAGATTGTGAGAACGTTAACTAAGGAAAGGGATTTTACTAGCCATATCATAATCCAATCAATATTACTAACTAATTCTCTAGATTCGCAGTCTTGCCATCTATATTAACGCTAGTCCTCAACGCCGGGAAGCGTTCTACAAACTTCAATCTGAATCAGTCAAACTTACGCCTATTCAAGATGTCAAAACACGTTGGAACTCCACATTTCTTATGCTTCGCCGTGCGAAGCGACTCCAATCTATCTTTAATCCTTTCTGTGAGGGATATGATCGGATGGATTTGATGCTAGACGACGAGGAGTGGCGGCAGATTGATTATCTCCTCTGGATCACACAGCCATTTTTTTGAGTTTACTAATGAACTTTCGAAGACAAAAGATGTCACGACCCATCATATCTTCAAGATTTATAACAAGCTGTTTGAACATCTTGAGCTAGCGATTTCCCAACTCCAAAGAAAGAAGGCTACTTGGAAAAAGAAGATGCTTGAAGCACTTCAGGCTGCCCAGCAGAAGCTTCGAGATTATTACTCTGAAACAGATAATATCCGAGGTGACCTTTATGCAATTGGCACCATTATTGCGCCAGAGAATAAGCTCCAGTTCTTTATGACCGACGACTGGTCCTGATCAATGGCGCCAGAGATACCGACAAAGCTTTAAGGATTACTTAGTCCCCTACCAAAGCCGTCTTGCCAATGGACATGATTCCACTCCCTCCCAATCATCGACTAGGGTAGGATCACGCCTAGAAATGATGCTAAAAGGGAAAAGGCAACAGGCAGCACCGCGTGACGAAGTTACGCAGTATCTTGATAGCGGTAAGTTTCAACTCTCTCTTATACTTAATTATTATTAATATTCTCTTTAGATATAGCTGAAGTTGCTCCTCTAGCATTTTGGAGAGAGAATCAGTACCGATTTCCAGCACTTGCAAATCTCGCTCGGGATGTCCTTTCAGTTCCAGCATCTGGTGCTGGCGTTGAACGACTATTTAATACTGCTCGTGATATTTGCCACTACCGCAGAGGGAGACTAAATGCCACAACTATTCAAGAATTGATGATGTTCCTTTGCACTTCAAGGTTTGATATGCAAGAAGAGCAGTTTAAGTTCTTGAAGGAGTTTTACTCTTCTGATGAGATTGAAGCAGCAAATGAAGAGAGAGAGATGATCCACCAGATCAGTTTCATCTTGATCCAATCAGTGACGATGAGGAAGAGCATACACAAGGGCAAGAGGAGGCTCAAAGGTCTAAATCACCTGAAGACCATGATAAGCTTGATTTGCCTATGATAGAAGGGGTAGATACTCAAATACGCACATCAGGGAGAGTGCGTAAGCGTGTTAGACGTGAAGATAGTGACTACCTATATGATTAGCCTTTTATTCAATATATTCACTTCACATAAGATTTACTTCAATGATTCACTAATAAAGATTCTGTTTTAAAAACTACTAAACTGTACTAGTAATACTCAAAAATACAAGTGAATCCTACATAATCTATGCAGAGAGAGCTATTTCTATGTTTGTCCTGTTTGACGACCCATTGGGTAACCCGCAAACCCGCGCGGGTTTCCCATAAGCACCCATAACCCGCGTGCGGGTTGAACATACCGACCCATTTCCCTACCCATAGGGAGGATGGGGCGGGTTCGGGTGCGGGTTCTTGCGGGTCATGGCACAGCCTAGATATACATGAAGCATATACGATGAGTGGAGGATATACGGAGTGACGGACCCACATAGCTTATCTGGGTTCCCCTGAACGCGAGGAAGCACCTCTCTCTTGCTTCCTCGCGCTACGTCTTGTATCTAGAGTCGACAATAGTTGTTCTTAATATTGATCTTTCATCTGGAGACACTATCCAACTCTACGCATACGTGAGACCCTCACACTGATCCTGGAGACAGGACATGCAATCCTAGGATTGTCACAGGAGTGGCTAGGAGCCTAAATGCTCCTGAAATACTCCAATCTAGGTTAAACAAGATATGTAAGAAGAACTACATAGGACCTCACGTTATATAGCAAGCACTATGTAACCGTTAGCTTGTGCCCTGGGGTCGATCACGACTGGGGAACCTGATGGCAGGGCTGGGGGGAACTATTTTCCGACCGAGTCGTCCACCCTCATCCGCCGCCTTTCTTATGCTACGGCGAGAAGGACTCTACTACGAGACTCGGGAGGGAGTACTCCGTACATTTCGGAGAGCCGGAGCAACCACGATTGAGGCTCCATTTCCAAACTACTCCCCGGAATTTTTTTCGAGTGGTTCGCTCTGGCCCGAAGGCTCGGAATGGAGCGGAAGTACGGAGTACCCATGCCGTTCTTCTTGCAAGCAGGGTGAAATAATTTTTTGCCTAAGTCCTGGGGGGTTCGAGGGTAATAGGAAAATGCACGGACCTCAGATCTAGGTGGAGAAGGTGCTGTTGTTTAGCCAATCTTATTCAATCAACACTACTTTTCTACAGAGAGGACAGGCGTTTAAACTACCTTCTCACCACTCTCTGCGGCCTCATATTTGAAAATTTAGGAGTTTTAATTGCTATTTCACCACCTCCGTTTTTCCTCTAACCTTCGTTGAACTCACCATAAAACACTCCTTTATTCCTTTAGAACCAGTTCATTTAAACTGATCAAATTAGTAGAGACTGGTATAATTAATTGCGAATCAACGGTAGCCGTGCATTACGAACCCTGCAGGACGAGGAGCCGCAACTTACTGAGGGGCCGCCGAGAGCCAACTGCTCCCATAAAGTGAAACAACGCGCTGGGCAGTCACGTGCGACCAACGACTGCTACGTTGGAAACCCCATCCTTTGGGATCAAAAACCGAATGCAGATAATTTTGTGAAGATTATGTTTAACCAGTAGCTCTTCCCCAGATGTTGCAATCTCCAATAGATGAGTGTGCCTTGTCAAGTAGCATCTAGCTGGGGTTCCGTGCATTTCCTAATACTCCGTACGAAGTCAGCGATCAATTGCTGATCATATCGCTAATAAGCCCAATGAGCGGCTACATGCCTGGGCGTTATGATGTCCTCGTGTGCCTCCTTGAGCTAGAAAGTTAATGAGGTGGCCAGAATCGGCAGTAGGAATTGGCTGGTTTGGACATAGCCATCTAAGCACAGTCCCGTAAGTACATATGGGAATTTCCCTCTCACTGCGTACATTAGCGCAGATCATAGTAGGGAGAATAAGTTATGGCACTCCAAAGTGGAGCTGGGAGTAAAAATGGGCCAATAAAATCTTTGGGCCAGGCAACTGTTACGGGCCCTGCAACGACCAACAGTTTGAGGGGTCCCGAGGCCCAATCATTCCCAGGAGCTGTGCATTAGCTCCAAAGTCACGTGCAGACGGTATACCTTGCGATCCCCCAGGAGTACCGATTGAAACCATTTCGCCCTGATCACTGAGCAATCACTGAGCACCAGGGTGAGCGACCCACTCGGCAGACATTATCCTATGTATATGTCATGGAGAGTACTATACTCTTACGCTTAATGAAGACAAGCTTTGGTTGTTGATATATAGTGACCTGAAATAATGCATTTACTATGGTGTTTTGGGGTGGGCCACTCGCCTGTGTGGGCCACTCGCCCGTGTGGGCCACTCGCCCGTGAATTACGTTATGTCAAATTATGTAACGTAGTTCCCGGCCACCCTGGCCACCTCGCGTAAAATCGCGTCATCCAACCTACCCACCTTCTTCAAACACCTACTATGCCACCAATTCGCTCTGAATCCTGGCAGAAATCGGCCAACCAAGAGGGAAAAATCTTATTAGCCCTTAAGGATATTAAAAATGGCCGCATCCTGTCTATCCGCGCAGCAGCGAAGCTATACGAAATACCACGCGCTACGCTCCAAACACGAACTCAAGGCGTAGCCTCTATCGTGGAGAGACGCCCCCCTGGTCATAAATTGACCCAATTGGAAGAGGATTCGCTTACTGAGTGGATTCTCTCTCTGGATACGCGTGGAGCAGCACCTAGGCCAGCTACTGTGCGAGAAATGGCCAATATCCTACTAGCTGCACGCGGTAATAACCCTCCGGCTACTATAGGCAAAAATTGGCCATCAGCCTTTATTCAGAGGCGTAACGAGCTTCGTACACGCTTCTCAAGACGTTATGACTACCAGCGTGCACTAAACGAAAACCCAAAATCGCTACAAGAGTGGTTTAAAACTATACAACGCATTATCGACGAGAACGGTATATAACTAGAGGATATATACAATTTTGATGAGACAGGATTTGTAATGGGCCTTATTTCAGCATAGAAGGTAGTTACACGAGCAGAATACTACGGTCGGCGATCTATCTTACGGCCAGGAAATCGTGAATGGGTTACTACGATTGAAGCAATCTGCGTAGATGGCTATTCGCTACCGCTATGTGTGATATTTAAAGGCAAAGTTGCTATCGCAGGTTGGTTTGATAACCTACCTAAAGATTGGCGATTTGAGGTCTTAAATAATGGCTGGACTACTGATGAGATTAGCCTACGTTGGCTATAAAAGCTCTTTATCCTATTAACGAATTCACGCGTTTATGGCCGTTTTCGGCTATTAATTCTTGATGGCTATGATAGCCACCTTATACCCCGATTCGACCAAATTTGTGCAGAAAACGATATTATACCTCTTTGTATGCCTGCTCATTCTTCACATCTACTACAACCACTAGATGTTGGGTGTTTTGTAGTACTTAAACGCGCATATGGTCGCTTTATAAGTGATCTTGCGCGTCAAGGATACAACCATATTGATAAGTTCGATTTTTTGGATGACTACTAATGTGCGTGGCTAGAGGTCTTCCAACAGCCAGCTATTATTTAGAATAGCTTCGTAGCTAGTGGCCTAGTGCCTGTTGATACAGAAAGAGTACTCTCTAAGTTTAATATCTCTCTACACACACCTCCGCCACCAAGTAGCCAGCCAAGCAGCAGATCCAGCCAATTCACACCAAAAACACCTAGAACAGTGGTTCAGCTACAAAAGCAAGCTTTAATGCTTAAGGAGCTACTAAAGCAACGGTTAAATAGCCCTCCAAGCCCATCAAAAATAATGCTGGATTAGATTATCAAAGGCCACTATATATCGCTACACAACACTGCGCTACTAGCGGAAGAAAACGCAAATCTACGTGTAGCGAATAAGAAGAAACGCCAGAAACGCCATTGGTTAACTAGACAGTTACCCTACAAAGAGGGTTTGACCGTCGAAGAGGGGCTAGAGCTAGTTCAGCAGCTAAATTTGCTAGATAAAGCTGCTATGGTAGATTCGCATACGCAGGGGGAATTACCTATTCAGGCGAACCAACCGGCTACTAGGGCTCCGCCTCAGTGTAGTAGGTGTAGGGAGATTTGCCACAGGATTAATATATGTAAAAATCGCTTTGTTTAGCTGAATTAATGGGTGCTGGTTGAGATAATCGATTTTAAATTTTTTTAATGGGGTTGGGTGGCCAGGGTGGCCGGGAACTACGTTAAACAGTGGTATTACATAATTTGTTGTGTCTCTAACAAAAGCTGTTGTGGCCCTATCAATTCCCCACGAATAGGGCATATTTATCTACAACCTGCATCCACTTATCACACTCAGGACTGCCAGTTACAGATTAGCAGGTCGATATTGAGCTCCACTGCGGCATTTTTGCTAGTGTTCATTTTGGAAGTACTGTCCGTTCTGCAAAACGCACCTGTTGTAAGGGTGCTGTACCGGCTTTCCTACGGAAATCGCCCGATAATCCTAGGAACTTGCGAGTTATCCACAATTATCACACGCTAAGGTGGGATAAACCTGCTCGGGAGGGACGATCAGTTACGAGTTTCTCAATCGCTGGTGATCATTTGTTATCTCGCCATGTGGGCCGCCAGTAGCCATTGGCATAAATCCCTCATCGACGATCAGACCGGTCTCATTCGTCCTGATGTCATGGAGGTTCGTCTCAGACAAGGGTTTGGGGCACGGGACTTTGAGATACAACAATCCAGGCGGAGAACGGAAGTCGAAGTTGCCTAGCGGATCGTCCCTGTGGTAGGTGCAATTATTTGCCTGGCTGCGAACTTGCTGGTGTCACTACTGTACGGCCCTGTGTGTTCCGAAAGGGCATAGAAAGACGTGGGGCTTGTGTCACCGGTAATATTTTCACGTCAGAATTCAGTTAATGAGTCATATATTTGGGTCCGATAGCAATTCGCATGTAGGTAGAATTCGCCACTCCTATGATGTGTGTAAGTGTGCTCCAGCAGATCTAGGGACTGAGTGGATCTGGAAGCAGATGGTGGGTTCCTGTCCAACACTCGAAGAGGTCAGGGCCCGCCTTGTACCTACCACAGGGACGATCCGCTAGGCAACTTCGACTTCCGTTCTCCACCTGGATTGTTGTATCTCAAAGTCCCGTGCCCCAAACCCTTGTCTGAGACGAACCTCCATGACATCAGGACGAATGAGACCGGTCTGATCGTCGATGAGGGATTTATGCTAATTTGGTTACTCTGTACTGGCGGCCCAGCGAGATAACAAATGCCACAGCTATGGATCGGCAATCGTGGCTGGCTGAAGTGTCCAGTAGCGGTAAATGCCAATATTTGCCTTGTGCGTGCAGATTCTCCATCAGGGCTGCTTATATGCCGGGAATGGTCCAATACTGATGGCCACTACTCTTACGCCCTGATGATCCTTCCTGGTCAATTTCACTGCTTTCAGAAATCATTATGACCTCTATGAATAATGTCTCAGCCCCACCACGTTGGTGCGTTAATGGGCAGGAAGTGGGATATAAATGTCTATAAATATGTCCCAAGACCTCTCACTTCCAGGAGGGGATATCTATAACTATGCTCATTTTTCCAACCTTTGCCTTACCAAGTTGTCCTGAATACTCTCATCTTCTCAAGAATCATCATGAGCGATGATAGCTCTCAGCCGGATTGGAGCAAAGTATCTCTCAGTGATGATTTCATATGGGCCGATGGTGTAAGCGGCAACGGCCATCCTTTCAAGATTGGGGCCCTGAAACCAAAAACTCCGTCGACAGCCGACGCAGACCAGGCTCCGGAGCTCGGCAAGAACGCAACCATTGGCACCAACAACGAAGAAACATTCTCTGTTGCCAGCAAAGTCCCCTTCGACATCAAGGTCGACTGGCCACGTTCATACACGGATGAGTGGTTCGACCCCACCGCGGAGGAGACCAGGACTACCAGCATCACACGATACAGCCTACAAGTTGCTGGCCCCTTCGGCTTACATCAGTTCAGCTTTAGCTGTACGGAGCCGTACCATTTTTATTTCTATGACAAGACCGGCGATTGGTATGGGGTCAATGTCTTGTGGCCGAGGCCGTGGTCGTATCACACGGTGTACTTTTGGTCAAGCAATGCTGATATTGTAAGGGTAACTGGTTCATAGGCACATACTAGTGCCAGTACGCTATACCAATATCAAGGAGGAACCCCAACCCAAGTTATCCTAGCGGGGTAACTCCAATTCCAGCAGCCAAATTCTATCTTAAGGGTGTAGCTCCAATAAAGTTCAATGGACTTGGAGTAGTCCTCTTTACTATGGAAGAAAAAAAAAGAAGAGTGTCCAAGTTCATTGGACATCTTTTTCCTGAGTCCATCGTCAAGTAAAGTGTCTTACGAGAAAGTTGAAAATTTCAGTAACTCTAAATTGACCACCTTCCTACTCCCCATTTAAATCTTAGATCTCCCAGTAAACTCAATAGCTCGTACGAGACGATCCAAAGATTGTGAGTTGGTGGAATTATTTTTGATGGGGTACGGTCGAAAAAGCTAGTACAATAAACCCACAACTTTACTTTTTCTTTTTTGTCACAAGATTCTGAATCCTACGGGGACCCTCAAGGGAAGATAACTTCTGGGGGTTACTGAGCCAATTTATGGCACTAGTGATTATAGACTGCATGATGAGCCCTGGGGAATTACCTGCACCGCTATTGGAAGTACCTATTGCCTTGATGGGCATTTACAAGATTCAATTGCTTGGTCGGGCGATGATTCACTTCAAGTGCCGCAACTGGTTGACTCCATTGCCGACTCATTTAATTGGCTATACTCTAGAGCCATTTACTGTAGTCAATGAGCGATTTGCCTCAAAATAATTTCTCTAGCGAATGAGATCAAAATCTCAGATTCACCCTGCCACTTGGTACTCGCGAATAAATGGTGCGAGGTCTTCAATCCCTCCATCGCATCCAGTGATGTGGATAACAAGATGTAAAGCGAGGAAACGTGTTGTATCTAGAGTCGACTAAAGCTGTTCCTAATATTGGTTATTTGCCTTTAGCAGGGGCGGTGGCCGACCGCTGAGTGGGGCACTGAGGGGAGATAAAGAGCGACTCTATCTGGTCATCCTTGTTCACCCCTCTGCTCAGTGAGTAGTTGAAAAATGTTTGAGTAAAAAGTCTGGGGGATGCTAGGTACAGTATTAGGAAATGGAGGTGACTTGACAGTCTCGCAATTCCTGGGAGCTCGGGGGCCATCTCATTTTCCCTGATCGGATTCAGTTTAGCGCAATCAAAGTGTGGCTCTGGGAAAGAAAGCCTGAGCGTCCAAGGGTAATCTGTTTTCAAATATTACTGTAAATCCATCGATTTCAACCTGCTCATATGTAGAGCATTGGTGGGCTCCTGGGATATTGAATTGGGGCCATGGCTTTACAGACTTTTCTATAACTTCTTAGGCTGAACCAACTCATCAACCAACGATTTTGCAAGCATCTAAGCCGAGGTACTCGTCTGATTGCTTCGGAAAATCCAGACATCCCCTTTAAATCAACACAAACCATGGTAGGTAAAGCCAATCTATTTCCAATGCGCTTTGCGCTCCGATCATGATTCAAGTTACAGTCATTCTCGAAATCGGCTTGACCGATATACACTGAGTAACTCTTCTTGGTCCCGCAGCCAAGGCTTTAACGCAGTGGATTTATTGAGCAAGCCGCATCAAAGTGAGGGCCGCAGTAATCTGCCATCTAGATTATGACGCCTTGTAGTAAAGAGACCGTGAAGTTTATTGGTAAACGTTCAGAGAGTATAATGTACCTACACAAAGCAAAATAAAGGTCCTTAAAGAACCATTATGTTCCTACCAATCAATTTTCTAATGCGGGTTGCTGAAGATGTTATCCGAGCTAAAGTCTTGGCGGTGGGTCCAGGGAAGAGTTATTAAGTGTAGATTGGTCAAGCCGATTTCGAGAACGGCTGTAAAGAATCAACTATGCAGAGCTTGAAACAAATATACCTAAACCAAGAGACCCACTCCTTGGAATAAAGTGCGATACAGTATGATCAACCTCTCTTTTCCCCATAATAAGTTGTAATGTCATAATTAGCATCATAGCTGTGCATGGGCTTGACGGTCTAGATGCAGGCGGAATGTTCTCGGATGCTTCGTGGCTTGACCTTTCGAGCACACAGTCCGATCAGAACTGTTTGAAAGCATTGGAGTGTGAAGGTATAGCTGATTTCAAAAACTACTGTATCGCCAAAAGAATTGAATAACCACTAAGCTAAAATAAGAATCCGCAGTCAGCCTCGTGGTGTGTGGTTTATAATCAACTAAAAGCGAGGGGTCGGGTAAATGAAATCATCCATCCATCCATCCATCTGTACAATACCTACTCTGAGTATCAAGAGTTCATCTTAGAAGGCTACAGCTGATAGAAATTTTCCTATTCGACAATCTTAGGTAGGCTAAGCGAGTTGTAGATTGAAGTGGGTGTAGTCAAGATTTGAGAAGAACGAAAGAGAATAAATTGGTGAAGCTAATTTCGATCGGCACTGTATCCATTCACAAAATTATGGGCTACCTCATCATTAACAGAAAAATTTCGAATATTGCTGTAGTACTACGGAAAATCTCGATTAAGAACTGTACTGGTGGAGACTGTAACCCATTTTTGGTGGAGTCGTGCGACGCGACGTTGAGCGAAAATGACGGGACGGGCCGAGACGCGAACCCCTGAACCGCCCGAACGCGACGAACATGAAAAATCACCACCACGAGTGTTGAGGCCGAGACGCACCACCAGGCCACCCAACAACTATGTCCAGGAGCAAGAGCTCGATATCGAACAAACCAACACACGGGCCCAGCAGAAAAAGAAGACCCAGAGCAAGCCAGTAGCCCAACGTGAAGCGGTCGCCGCGGAATCATCAACAGAGAGCGAGGACCCGATCGCCTCGGAACTGTTAAAGGAACTCGTCAAACTCAGAAAGGAGATCAGACGACGAGATGAGCTACACAGGGAAGAGCTCCGAAAGGCTAAAGAAGAATTACAGAGAACCAAAGAAGGATTTAGTGCCGCCCTTGCAGAGGTCCAACACGAGTTACAGACCTTGGCAGAGAGACCCCTTCAACCGCAACCCCCCTCCGAGCCATGCGCTCACAACGGCCACGATGAGATACTCCGTGAAATCCAGTCCTTGCGCGAGGAAATCAGCATCCCCGCTCCCATAAGCTCCCCGTCATATGCAGATGTCGCCCGCACCGCTCCACCCAGCCACCCGAGCAATATACGACCAACGTGGAATGTAACACCAACAACCTTCACGGACACGCTATATTGTATAATAGATACTTCGAAGATACTCGAAAATGATAATCAGAAGGTATCTGCGGGCTCGATCAGGGCTGCAATCGAAACCGAGATCCGGGCGATAGATGGCCACACCCTCTGGCGCTGTCGCGCGGTGACAGTGAGTCCACGAAACAATAACCGGATCAGAATCGCGTGCCGTGACGAAGCCGAACATTAGCTGGTTAAGAAAGTAGCGGAAGCCAAAATCGGGGCCGGTGTCCGGGTGCTTCGTGACGAGCTCTACCCGATCAAGGTTGATAGTGTAAGGAGGACTGTAGTACTGGATGAAAACCTCGACGTCCTGTTAGGAGCGGCCGCGGCTCTGAGCGAGGAGAACGATATAACTGTTGCTAAGATCATGTGGCTGAGCAGCAAGGAGGCCGCAAAGCCCTACGGATCAATGGTCGTGTACTTAACTAAGGGAAGTGACGCACGGAGGCTCCTGGCCGATGGCTACTTCCACGTTGGAGGAGAATCCGGGACAACTAGAGTTTTTGAATACCGGCCACGACTGGTGCAATGCTACAATTGCTAGGAGATTGGCCATAAGGCATTCTAGTGCATAAACGTCCAGAAGTGCGCGAAATGCGCCACCGAAGGCCATCGTTATAGTGACTGCGATCGCACGGTTCCAAAGTGCGTACTATGCGGAGGACCTTATGAATCGTACAGCAAGAACTGCCGGAAGCTATATCCATCACATTATGAATAACTCCTTTCGAATAATATAGCTGAACGTGAGGAAGTAGGGTGCGGTGCTTAAGAGTTTGATGAACGACGAAGACACTTGGAACGTGGTGGCGCTAGCGATTCAGGAACCCCAAGCGAGGAGGATTTAAGGCCGGCTCTTGACCACTCCGATGGGTCATCACAAATGGACAAAGATGGTACCCTCTACCTGGAGGGAAGGGAGATGGGCGATCTGGAGTATGCTCTGGGTTAACAAAGAAGTCGAAGCGGAGCAAGTCCCTGTGGAGTCTCCGGACATCATAGCAGCGACGATCAGGCTCCCTAGGCGGCTGATCCTAATAGCATCGGTTTATGTTGAAGGAGGCAGCGCCTCGGCTTTGGACGACGCGTGCAATCTTTTACGCGACGCGATAACGAAGGTACGACGAGAGATAGGCGCCGTGGTGGAGAGTCTGATTGTGGGGGACTTTAACCAACACGATCAACTTTGGGGTGGTGACGAGGTATCGCTGGGAAGACAAGGAGAAGCGGATCCAGTTATTAACCTCATGAACGAGTTTGCACTCAGTAGCTTACTCAAACGAGGCACTAAGACATGGCACGGTGGAGGATAGAATGGAGACTGCGAGTCTACCATCGATCTCGTTCTAGCCTTGGAGAACCTGACGGACGCTATGGCTAAATGTGCGATACTTGGGACTAACCACGGCTCGGACCACTGCGCTATTGAGACCGTATTCAACGCCTAGTGGTCGGGCCCAAAGCACCAAGAATGACTTTTGCTGAAGAATGCACCATGGAAGGAGATTAACACTAAGATTCAGAATGCCCTGGCCATTCTTCCGTTGGAGGGCACGGTACAGCAGAAAATAGATCGACTCATGGCGGTAGTGCTTAAAGCGGTGCACGCTTTAACGCCGAGGGCGAAACCATCCCCCCATGCGAAGCGATGGTGGATAACTGACCTTACTTAACTCCGTCATATATACACGTACTAGAGAAACTGTGCTCGCTCCGAGCGACGGGCGGGTCGGAAAGTACCTTGGCTTGAATAGATGGCCCAGGATGCCGCTAAACAATACCACGATGCCATTCGCAAACAAAAGAAGAAGCACTAGAATGAGTTTCTCGTAGACAACGACAACATCTAGAAAGCTGCCAAGTACCTTAGGTCGGGGGACGATGCCGCGTTCGGGAAGATTCCTTAGCTCCTTAGAGTAGACGGAACCACTACCAACGACCACAAGGAGCAAGCGGAGGAATTACTATCCAAATTCTTCCCGCCCTTACTAGAGAGTATCGATGAGGAAGGAGTTAGGCCACAAAGAGCGCCTGTAGACATGCCGGCTATCACGATGGAAGAGATAGAGCGGTAACTCTTAGCGGCTAAGTCGTGGAAGGCACCTAGTGAAGACGGCCTACTGGCGATCGTCTGGAAGATGACATGGCCCACAGTCAAGTACAGGGTGCTCGACCTTTTCCAAGCTTCGCTGTAAGATGGCACACTGCCAAGATAGTGGAGACACGCGAAGATCATACCGCTCAAGAAGCCGAATAAAGATGATTACACCATTGCAAAGGCATGGAGGCCTATCTCACTCCTTGCGACACTCGGAAAAATACTTGAATTGGTGGTCGCAGAGAGGATCTCGCACGCGGTGGAGACACATGGACTACTCCCGACGAGCCATTTTGGGGCCCGAAAGCAGCGATCCGCAGAGCAAGCACTAGTCTTCCTGCAGGAGCAAATCTATGCGACGTGGCGCGGCCGGCGGGTGCTAAGCTTGATCAGCTTCGATGTCAAGGGAGCCTACAACGGCGTATGCAAAGAACGACTGGTCCAGAGGATAAAGGCCCGAGGCATACCAGAGGTCTTGCTTCGTTGGGTTGAGGCGTTCTGCTCGGAACGAACGGCTAATATCCTGGTCAACGGGCAATTATCGGAGACTCAAAGCCTGCCACAAGCTGGACTGCCGCAGGGCTCGCCCCTGTCTCCGATTCTCTTTCTTTTCTTTAACGCAGACCTCGTGCAAAGATAGATCGACAGCCAGGGAGGAGCAGTTGCCTTTGTGGATGATTTTACCGCCTGGGTGACTAGGCCGACCGCGTAGAGTAATCGGGAAGGAATTGAATCCATTATCAACGAGGCGCTCGACTGGGAAAGAAGAAGCGGAGCGACTTTTGAAGCCGACAAGACGGCCATCATACATTTTGCCCCCAAGATGCGCAAATCAGACCATTCACCATTCACTATCAAGGGACAGATAGTAATACCCAAAGACCACGTTAAGGTCCTAGGGGTCGTAATGGACACAAGACTTAAATATAAGGAACACATTGCGAGAGCAGCGTCCAAGGGTCTTAAAGCCGTAATGGAGCTTCGGCGACTTCGTGGGCTGTCCACGGCAACTGCGCGGTAGCTGTTCACGTCAACGGTGACACCGGTCGTGGACTATGCCTCGAACGTCTAGATGCATGCCTACAAGGATAAAGCCATGGGACCGATCAACCGAGTCCAAAGAGTAGGAGCACAAGCTATTGTGGGGACCTTTCTCATAGTCGCGATAAGTATCGTAGAGGCTAAGGCTCACGTAGCCACCGCGTAGCGTCGATTTTAGAAACAAGTGGTGAAAATGTGGACAGACATCCATACCTTACCGGGAACCAATCCTCTCCGCCAGTGTATAGATCAGATCAGGAAGTTCAGAAGATACCACCGCTCGCCATTATATCACGTAGCTAATGCGCTTAAGCAGATCGACATAGAGACTTTAGAAACGATTAACCCCTTCACCCTAGCCCTATGGGCGGAACGCATTCAGACTGATATCGATGAATAGCACGAAGCCCCGGCCGAAGAAGGCGGGTGCATATAGGTCGCGGTCAGCAGCTTGGCATAGAATGAGAGAGTAGGGTTTGGAGTAGCCATTAAGAAGCGGCCACCTCAAAATCGAAAGCTTAAACATAAAGCGATATCCATCACGTTGGCTGCAAGAATAGCGCAGAACCTATTTTCTGCGGAGCTAGTAGCTATGGCACACGTATTGAGCACGGCGACGGGACTGAAGGACTATACGATCAGGTTACTCATAAGTAACTAAGCGGCGGTTCTCACACTCAGTAACCCTCGACAATAATCTAGTTAGTAGTTTGTCTATTAGATATATAAGTCGATTATAAAGCTACAAAGAAACGGGAATCGTGTCAAATTTTGCTGGGTTCCTACTAGTGAAGACAACAAGCTACTGGGTCTGGCTAAAGAGCAGGCTAGAGCCACGACGTAAGAAGATGCCCCCTTGCAAGAACGCGCTCCGCGGGTGAAATCGACCACACTAAATCTCGCACGGTCTTAGGCAGTTCCCCGAAATACCCTGCCACCGGACGTCGGAAAGCACGCCAAACGAGTAGATGTAGCACTTCCAGAAAAACACACGCGACTACTATACGATCGCTTATCGTGGAAAGAAGCGACCGTGCTAGCCCAGCTCCAGACTAGCATAGCGAGACTGAATGGATACCTCTACCGAATCAACGCAGCCGACACCGATCAGTGTGCGTGCGGACAAGCCAAGGAAACTGTGGAGCACTTCCTCTTTCGATATCGGAAGTGGACCGCACAGCGGATAGAGATGCTACAACGTACTGACACTCACCAAGGAAATCTGTCATTTTACCTAGGAGGGAAGTCGCCTTCCAATAACGAGAAATAGGCACCGAACCTAGAGGCAGTACGGGCCTCAATACGATTCGCCATCGCGACTGGCCGCCTTAAGGCCACTTAATCATGCCGCCAAATAACCCCCTCTATTCTACCTAACTCATCAACTACCTCGTGCTACTCATGGTGGACGCGCTTCAACTGCCGAAGATAGGATATTGAACACTTGGAGAAGCGCCTCCAAGCCAGTCTACTAACCAACTTACTAACCCACGAGCATCCGCTGCGACACTGTATGCTGAGAATGTCAAATGCGCCAAGGTCTTGTGTATGGGCTTCAATGAGTCACTAGAATTGTATATACTATGACATGTATAGCAGATTAGCGATAGTTGCCCTTTCGGCTCAGCCGCCGGGCGTTAATGAATTGTGTGTGTGTGTGTAAATTATGGGTCCCTCGTGGAAAGTCACCTTCTCGTGGTGAGGGATGTCAGTAAGTTAGACTGCAAGGTCTGACCGAAGCTGAGAACTTTCCAAATCGAAACACCGGCGGAAATCCCTTTATTGGTTGTGACGACGCGGCGGGAAGCTTTCAAAAGAACACGTCGACATCTTCGCAACGTCGACGAGCCTTCGAACGACCGACCTGCCTACCCTTTTTCAACCTATGCTCACCGGGTTGTGTTCACTATAACTCACCTGCCCTACCGGTTCGATCGCATGTCGATTCGTCAGTCCTTCGTCTGCTATCTGGTGTTGCCGCCAGCGAGGCAGTCAGCTACTTCGGGCGTTAATATGAGAAGTACTCTCGGTAAATCGCTACTCAGGGAAGAGGTTCACGAAACTACATCGAGAATGGACGCGTGGGGCGTCCGGTGTCACAGAGGGATGGGTTATTGCTTTTGGGGGAGATGATATGATGACAACAAGAAGAAGAAATCGCTAAGGACATACCGTATGGGCTAGAGGGGTTTTTTGCAGCTGGTTCAGCTTCTCCTCTCGAAAATGAGACTATGACAAAATGTATGCAATGGAAAGATCAAATAGCGTATAGGTGCCCTCTAGGCTTGATACCTCCGGGCGTAATGAATTGTGTGTGTGTGTAAATTATGGTACTATCACAAAATTCTTATTTTGATATTCTCAAGATCAAAAAATGTCGTATTGCTTTAGCTTAAGGATTTAGCGCTTGCAGTGGAAAGGTCAACTGTTTGTCATACTAAGCTCCAGATGGAAACAGATTTGTTGACTGTATCTCTTCTGTAGAACATGGTCTAAGTGAACAGGCTGCCATCTGGTTCTTTCAGTCTTCACGAAGTCATTTGGTCTCGGGTTTCATCGTTAAGATTGCTCTCACCCACTCGAATTTAGGGCGATTCACACTGACTATTCGTCGCGATAGTGGTGTCGTATTGTATATCGCGTACTGACAAATACTCGTCCTGATCTTCTTGGGAGCTTTTGCGATCGCGGTGTCCCAAATTGTGATGGTCCGATTCGTACTGAGCATCAACTTGTGCGCAGCGTTCGGTGGCCACATACTATCAAGATGGACTAAAGCATGAGCGGGTAATTTCGAGTCCACTTCAAGTTCTCGAGTAATTTCGTTCCTTGTATGCAACCAAGCGTAGACAATGATGTAGCGTCCGTCCGATAAGCGACGAAGATCGGACACCTTGGCGACATCTGTACCTCTTAGACCAATGTCCACGATCACAATATCGCCGCGGTGGACTTTCCACCGTGGAAGGTGTGCTGAGGAAACAACAGAGAGACTTTCCCATGCAGCTGCTCTACCCACCGGCATCGGCCGGAGTTGTGCAGCGCCATCCCCAGTGATACGATATAAGATTTGAGCAGAAGGCGCATGCGCGACCTTGGGACTGGCTGCATTCTCCTTTCTCTTTTTCCTCCGTTTCACTTTTTGATTCTCCTCCACAGAGGTTTTCTCTTCTTCCTGCCAATCCAAATGCCAGCGGGAAGATTTGGCGGTCCTTTCTTGACTGAGGGCGGGGCGTAGTTGCAGTGGTTGACTTACTTCGGGAGGTTGTCGGCCATCTTTCTGCAGTTCCGCTAGTATATTGTTAAAATACCATGAATAAGACTGCATGCTCGGCACGTACGCTTACAAGGTTTATTCAAAATGGCGCTGATGCGCATGGGGTTGAACGGCAACATTCTTGGAAAGCTAGAGGTATTCTTGTAGTCTCTTCTAGACCAGGGATAATGTAGTCAACTGCTTAGTCGAGAAGCCGAGAGGACTTTTGCGAATCGCTTTCTTATAGTGCCAGACCCAGGACTATATGTGCACTTGCACCCATCTTTCACATCACGTTGAAGTCGAAAAAGCTTAGTAATTTGCACTGTATTTACACGTGAGCACTTAGAGAGTCATTGATTCCAGTTCTCCAAAATACATGGATCTCAGAGATTAAATAGCTATATATGGATGGACACATTGCTTGACGAGTTTTGAATTGAGAGATCAATAGTTGGTTGATAATGAGAGTAGCCGTTTTCTACCAAAGAAATATCTTCACTGGCTTGAAGCCCTGAGCATTCTAGGAAGCCTATCACGAGGCGTAGCAGCTATGCTGAAGCTCGAGGGATTATTTCAGGTAAACAATTGCTCATATATGAAAAATACGAACCACCTGCCCGTTTATATCGAGTTCAAGTCGCCTCCCGATTCATTCAATACCACCGGCTAGCAATTGAAAGTAGTCCCCTTCAAGTGTTTTGTTCACCTGTGATATTTAGCCCCACAATGAGTCTGACCAGAAGATGTTATCAAAGAGAGAGACCGAATTGGGTTTTGAACGAGCCATTGGTGGACAAATATTGGAGTTCATGCCTTCAAACTCTCGAGGGGCATGGCAGTTTATTGCCTGGTCGCAAAATGGAAGCCGACTCGCATCAGCATCTCGGGATAAGACCGTCAGGATTTGGGATGTGGTCACCTGCCAATGCAAATCAACACTCCATATCATTAGTGAGCTCAAATAAACCTCCCCGCAGAAACAGGCTTCGATTCAAAGATCAATACATCAATTGTTAATACTATACAGTAAACCAAACCAATTTTATGATTGAGGAAGTGAGGTTGAATTGGGAGAGTGATGAATTGGGAGAGTGATGAATTGGGAGAGTGATGAATTGGGAGAGTGATGAATTGGGAGAGTGATGAATTGGGAGAGTGATGAATTGGGAGAGTGATGAATTGGGAGAGTGATGAATTGGGAGAGTGATGAATTGGGAGAGTGATGAATTGGGAGAGTGATGAATTGGGAGAGTGATGAATTGGGAGAGTGATGGATTGGGAGAGTGATGGATTGGGAGAGTGATGAATTCATAGAGAAACCCAGAAGAGCGCCCATTTGGCCGCCGAAAACTAACCAGACACAGGGAATAAAGCTTACAAAAGAGAGTACTGTACAAACAACTCCCATACAAACGGTCCTGGCGTTTTTCTCAAGAAATCACCACTCCATTATCATTTCGAAGGGTCTATCGTAAAATATAGCTCCGGAGTGGTTTGGCATACTTGTATGCAATGTTGTTGGGATTGCCGGCATTTCGCTCATTCAGTTTGCCCACGGAAGGTTGAATGGCTCATCGTCTTGCTCCTAAATATACAGACGTCATGAAACGAGACTATCGCCATCGTACCCAAAGCATTGGGTCCTTCTTTACAGGTCAGCATACATTAGAATAAATTGGAAGAAAAAACTAGAAAGGGAAAAGTGATAACAACCACGCCGCATAAACAAACCTTACCATATCACTCCCTGTCATATCTTTGCTGGCCCTTCTAATAACCACACCAAAATTATTTCCAAAGTACATCGATAGTAGGCACTAACAATTCATCCTGACGCAAGAGTATGGTGGGAGTGGGCGTTTGAGATGGGGCTGCTGCATATCAGATACCAGGAGCTTGACTGCTTCTGGGAACGCATAGTAGCATTCCTGGGGACACAAATCATATTCCTGGGGCGAATGAGCTGATTCCCGGGCGCCGATTCAGTCCCACGTCTGAGTGGGGTTAGCTAAGATTCAGAGTAGCATAGTAGCTTCCCAGGTTCATCAATTGCATTCTAGACCCAAGGACGCCTACAGCGAAAATGTATATAAATGATCAGAAAGCATATATTGAGCGCACGCCTCGTCCCACCTCTTCTTTTTTACTTATTCTATGTTCATAATGAGGTCGGCCACTATTGTGTACTTAGTAGTGACTATATTTTGGTCAGTCATGAGGGGCATACGACTAGCGTTGTCGCACTTAAGTCTTCTAGAGAGCCTATTGCACAGGCTCAATCTAATGGTGTTAATTTTAACTTTTGTGTGCTCAGCTATGAGTCTAGGATTAAGCTACATCAAGAAGGCTAATATTAGTGTAGGAATACTAAGAGGAGTCATCGTAGTACTTATAACATTACCAGGGGTAGTGTGCAATCCTACTATGTCGTCGGAAAATGCTGATTGTGCGTTAGTATCTCGGTATCAAGGTTCATATGGCCGGCTTAGGAGGCATATCTTATTGACTGAAAATATGTTTTCCACTTTTCGTTTATTTCTCCTGCTTGGCAAAGATGTCTACTGCCATATATAGAGTCTTCCAGTATCCGCTAATATGGTCTACGGTGACCTTCCTTCTTTCACTAGATTATTCAGTTATGGCGTTTTTCTACTGGTGGCTACGTGGGCGGACCATGCCTAGATACCAGACTCGACTTCACGTAACATTTTTTGCATGCCAACTGTCCGTGCTATCTATAACTCTCTTAGTTATCGCCATTGTGGGCTCTGTTATAAAACGTTAGTTGCTATTGCTAGAGGTAAGTCGCTACTCCTACTCAAATGGCGGCGTACACTGATTCGAAAAGCTCCAAATACCCATTATCATGCTCTCTTTAATTATCTTGCTTCTCTTTGGATGGTGCGAGTCAGCAATAGTTTGATGGGGCTGAATATGCCGAATTTTGCGCATATAATGGTTTTAATGGCTTATCCTCGTCGTATTCCCCTTTGAATGCTCAGGTAAGAAAGTTGGAATCTCCGGCAGCGGGGCTCTTCCATAGTAGAAGTAGAAGGTCCAGCGGAACGTTGATCAACGATTACTCCAGTGAATAGAATAGAAAAATCGGGAAGAATCATGAACGAGTCCCATCCCAGCTATCTTCTTCTTCCGATTAGGTAGTCACTTTTGACCCAGTCCAGATGTCTTATTCAATCAACACGTCTAATCTCCGACCAGCATATCTAATGTGTAGCTTATTCTCCGTTAGTCAGGGAAATAAAGCTCTATTTGGCGCTATAACTAGGATCATTGCTTCACCACCACACCTATTCCTCTACGGAGGACCGCGTTTAACGAACTACGTTCATGGACATTTCAAACTTTATTTGCTCATACATTAGAGATTGAACCAACGTTGTTACTTAAGACTTAAGATGCGTTAAAGCGTGGTGAAACGGTGAAGTGGTGAAGTAAGAACTATCATTTTGAGCGCACTGGATAATAGTCCGCCACCATCATGAAGAGTATACCCTTATCAAGCTATGCCATTCAGTGCCCGCTACCGCAGATTTAATATAATCTGGATTTCTATACACCAATTTTCGCTTCTTAGATATCGACGGTGTTAAGAACAACAATAAGATATTAATAAGGGCCAACGTGCATCATTCAGAATTTAGAGCCCGAGTCACCGCACGAATAGAGGGCGATGGCGAACAAACACCTTTCAACCGCATGAATCTACTTACTACGATTACATATTAATCTTTACCATCAGTCGGCGAACCGCCCAAAAACGATGCCGAGGATAGCATGTGATTAATGCGGTATCTATCTTTAAATACCTCCTATAGTCCTATTTATAGCTTCTTATTACCTCTGCTCTAGGTATCTGACGCTAGCCATATCCAGTCAGTTCGATTTCCATTTCATGCCATCAAGGCTCAACAAATTCCTTCACCAAATAGTACTATATCGTCTAGGGAAACTCAATACTTCTATCGCGAAACGAGCGGGGCCACGAACCCACATATCTAAGATTATCACCAGTCCCCCGAGTCTCTATCTTCCCCACCTACATAAGCTAGACGATATCTTAGCTATACTAATCGTGAGAAGGAGTCCCCGTGGGATATATATCTACCAGCCATCACCTATAATATCGCCAGTTAAGTGATCATTACCGCTCGCCGTACTCGCCCATCACGCGTAGTGGCAATCCGAAAGTATTAGAGACAAGACACCAAAGGTTAGATTAAAGGATTCAGGCGACTCGAACATACAAACCTTCTCTCCGTTCGTGAATGCTAAATTAATAGCAATTTCATATTCGCTCTCGTCGATGACCTACTATTGACACTTGGATATGTCGTTTTTTGTCCAAGTCTCTACCCCACCAAGGTCAAATTAGGTTCGATCTTATTACAGGTATGCCATCTTAGTCCTTTACTCGGCACGCTATTTATTAGCTTTCCAGGTTCTAGACGGCGCCTAGTATTTAGCGGCTTCTAGCCTCACTCACCAGTCATTTCATATCGTGAGATATTACTCAGCCTAGATAGAATTGTCAAGATTATTCAGTGATAAAACAAAACTACAATAAGAGCGCTAACATCTAACAGCGTGCTAGGACTACTGATTATACACCAGGTCAGGCAGAAACCGCATACCTCGCCGCCCTACCATCAATCGCGATGCGGCTCATGCAAAAATATGATAAGGAGGAAGGGGTTACCAGAGTCACCATCCTCTATCGCTAGCCGATCGATTTAGATACAGTGCGGTTCTTATCCGCCACCGCGACGGCAATATCGATCGCACCCCTAAAGGAGGTGCATAAACCAATAAGACCCTAGAATATAGCTAGCCGTGACCAGCAACCTCTCGTCGATTCAAAACCCGCTTAGCTATCAATCTCATCATCCTTATAAGGGCGGTCCTGCTTTCCAGCCAAAGCCTATATATATAAACCATAACCTAGCTTAGTCTACTCCATTACTTTCGCTAGGAGTTTTATCCACGTTGCGTGCGTCCTACTAGTGGACGCGGTCGGCATATATCTCACCGCCCTCAGGGTCGCCTAAGACACGCGCTGCGTCGTCCCTAAACGGGTGGGCTATATACTTAGGAATTATTATTCTTTTACTTTCTAAAG